TGATGTTGGTATATCGGCTCATCCCATGAAATTTTTTCAAATGTTTTGGGTATGAAACGCGTGGCAGCAAAATTTGTTCCAAAATTGTTAAATTTTGAACAACATTTTTGGCCAAAAATAATACTGTAATGATGCCCCAGCCTCCATATTCGCCAGACATGCCTCTGTCTGACTTTTTCCTATTCCCAAAAATAAAGAGAACCTTAAAGGGCCGTCGTTTTGCAGGCATTGATGACATTAAAAGCGCATCGCTGAAAGAACTAAAGGCTATCCCAAAGATCGAGTTTTAGAAGTGTTTCGAGTATTGGAAGAAGAGCTGGCACATGTGCATAATATCCAATGGGGACTATTTTGAAGGCGACAACATTAATGTAGACGAATAAATAAATATTTGTATCAAAAAACGAGAATTAACGATATTTTCTGAACACACCTCGTATAGTGTGTCTACGAATAGAGTTAGGAAGGGATTTTTTAATATGTAAGTTAAGAAGAAAAAGTCATTCCTTATAAAAACGTCTGCTTGTGTTAGAATACCATATTTGCAATTAATATATACATCAAAAATAATATTTTGAATCCTTAGGATTTCGTTTTTATTCAAAACCGTAATTTATTACACGAATTGTGCAAAACAATTTACTAAATATCTTACATATTTTACCGAAAGTTTTGTAAAGGTAATAGGGTAAACCACATAGTTATTGGACACTTAAGGAATATTATTTATTTAAAATTTATATATGCCGTTGTTTTAAAAATTTTGGTTAAAAAGGATAGTTTATTTGTTTAAACTTTATTTACGGTTACTTAAAAATAAGAAGGAATATTTAAATGTTTAATAATTGTTTTATAAAAACATGCAATAAAGTATAGTTATTGGACATTTTATATAGTAATTAGACACATGGACCATAGTTATTGGACATACAATTTTTATATAAACATAACAACCTTACATCATATAAAATAATATTTAAATATTTTTTAAAGATAAATTACTGTTGTATGTAATTTTTTTTATTTCGTTTTTGTAAATATCATATAATTCATATGTTTCTTTCTCTGATTCCTCATCCCTTTTCTGGATTCTGAAGGTAACTACTAATTCCTTGGTCTGACTTCTGAAATAGTTTGTTGCAAACATCATTAAGTGTGATATCTCTAGTTTGTGAAGCATATATAATGTTTAGGCCGGAACAGGATGATTTATATATACATCTAATATTTTTTCGGGTGGTATGTTAAAAGTATTTTCCGAATTTATTAATTTTGTTGCCATTACTTTTTAATGTTCTCTATCATCACTGTTATTCTGCAAGATGTCCTATGACGAATAAATCACAATATTACTTACTCTCTAAAAATGAATTAGTCAAAAATGTCATAGCGAAAAAGCAGTCACTAATAATTCTCGTCAACAGCAATTTGTATCCAGGACATTTAGCAGTAAATTCCTATGAAATATTATTCGCTGAATCCGAAAATGTCGTCAAAAGTTATAAAAGTAGAACAGTTTTTGAAATATAATCAATTTTACATATATATGGAATTGACTATATCTCAAAAACTGCTTAACTTTTATAGTTTTTGACGGTCTTTTCGGATTCAGGGGACAATTTTACATAAGAATTGGCTGGTAAATGTCCGATATACAAATAGAGTATGATATTGGACATAATATGTCCAATAATGGAAATTTACATTTTTTACCAACCAGTAATTGGACACTGGTCATTTTACTGTTTGTTTTCAGAATTAAAATTAAAACGCATTAAATGTTTAAACCATGAGGAACATATTTATACCACACACTGATCTGTACAATTTTTAGACATATTTTTTATTGTAATTTAAACACAGCACTGCTCTTAACAAAAAAACAAAAATCTTACCACCAAAGTAACGTGCGAACTTTTTTGTCCTATATTGGACCCAAAATAAAGTAGTTCTATATTATTACCTACCGACTGAGATAGTTATAATTGTATACAGCGTCATCTAATGATTTGACTTTAAGGTAACTTTTTATAGAACTCTTGTTTTTACAGTGCAAAGTATCCAAAAAAGATGGTTTTCCAACTAAAATTAGGAGATACAGTGAAGTGGGTTAAAGTTAAGAAATACATCAGTAAGTGTTGTAGTAGTACTGATAATTATATTGTATCAAATTTCTTTATAATTTGATGATTTTAGAATGGTTTTAATTAATCTGGTTAATATTTGGTTAACAAATATTTTTTACCTAAATACCATGTTTTAATTAAATTTTATTATCCCAAAACAGGTAAGGTCATTTAAAAAATAAAAGTTTTATTTATTATTATTGTGACAATTTTAATTAATGTTATTTCCATACTACCGTATGTATCATTAGGTTACAGAGTGAACGAAACAGTAAACGATTTGTTAATTAACCAGCTGATATGGTTTTTTAAACAGTATAATAATTATAAGGGTAAGATTTTGATTAAATAATTTTGTTAAGTCATTTAATAATGCGTTTAATAATTATGTTTATTTCCAGACAATTAGTTTCTTAAATAGTTATTGCGGGTTTTTTTAAAACAAAATTTGAGTTTGAGTTCTTGAATGTTTTCAGCTGGTGTTTTGTAGACTTGTGTTTTTAAATGACCCCAAAGAAGGATACTGAGTATGACCCTCTCGAAATAAATGTCGATTTTTATTGTCCCAGTACCTACAATTGTGTTTATTTACAAATCTATTTAGAAAAAAACTAAAATTTGAGCCAGGTTAAAAAACTCTAAACTATATTCTTTAAAAATCGCATTACATTAAGGGAATTGATGATATACGAGGTGTGTTCAGAAAATATCGGGAATTTTTGTTTTTTGAAACAAATATTTATTTATTTTGTCTTCATTAATGTTGTCGTCTTCAAAATAGTCCCCATTGGATATTATGCACATGTGCCAGCTCTTCTTCCAATACTCGAAACACTTCTAAAACTCGATATTTGGGATAGCCTTTAGTTCTTTCAGCGATGCGCTTTTAATGTCATCTATGCTTGCAAAACGACGGCCCTTTAACGTTCTCTTTATTTTTGGGAATAGGAAAAAGTCAGACAGAGGCATGTCTGGCGAATATGGAGGCTGGGTATCATTACAGTATTGTTTTTGGACAAAAATGTTGTTCAAAATTTAACAATTTTAGAACAAATTTTGCTGCCACGCGTTTCATACCCAAAACATTTGAAAAAATTTCATGGGATGAGCCAATCGATATACCAACATCATCAGCGACTTCTCTGATGGTTTATAACCATTTCTTCCACTTTTTCCATGTTTTTATCGGTTGTTAATCGTCTTCACGGCCATCTTGGAAACTCTTATACCACTTGTAAACTCTTGTTTTACTTTTAGCATTTAAATTTCACAGAATTTATTTCATTTTTTAAGCAAAATTTGATACAAATTCTTTGATCCATTTCTTTTAACAAACGAAAAATCGCCGAGCTCATAAAACACGTCTAACCTTAGCGGCTGCCACAGACAAAGTAAACAATGAAAACAGCTAAAGTTTTTATCATACTTCGGGGGCATGTATAGGTACCAACTTAATAAAGAAAATTTTATGACAACCGGACCCTCCGAACCCGCGAAATTTATAATTCCCGTTATTTTCTGAACAGACCTCGTATAATTTAATTTTAATATTTAATGTATAATATAAAAATCAATGTTCAATTTTAAATTTCATATAATTCAATAAAATAAAGAAAAAACGTAAAAATTCTCGAAAAGCTAAATTTTGGTCTTCCACTCAGATTTTCTGAAATTCTAGAACTCTATAATTAAAAAGTAATGCAATTTACAACATTTGATTATTTTTTAAGTTTTTATCCAAAATATTTAAAATTACTGGCAGCGACCTCTAAAATCATATCATATCATATTACATAAATTTTATGTAATGTTTATGAATGTTGTGAGCCATTAAAGTTTTAAATTATTTTTAGGCAGTGGAGGGTTGGGGGGTTTGACAATAAATTAATGGGAGTAGAAAAAGTAAATTATATGGGTGAATCTCACAAAACGTTACCCCGTGATATTTAATAAAACTAAATGAGTTTGACCTACACTTTTATTGCGTTTTGATCTTTCATAATTAAGTAGATATTACAGCTCAGGTTCCAGATTTTTAACCGCAATTAATTATTTTTTACAATGTTTTAAAAGTTTAAAACCTATCTTCCGTGACTGTTACTCTTACTCTATATTTTCAAATATCTGAGGTAGTAAGAGCATACCAAAAATATCAGTTCACTAAGTAAATTAAACACATCCAAAGCAATCGAATCAAATATAAAATATTATTAAAAATTAAAAGGAATAATTTTTATAACCATTTATGTAGGTGTTACAAAAATTGATTCTATCCTCCGTGAATCTGTTTTTGCTTTAAATTTTATGCAACGGATGGCGCTTTAATCATTTTAAATAAGCAAAAACCTCTGTTTACGACATTATAGATGCATGTGATTCCTGAAGGTCCGTTAGAATTTATATGCAGATGAGAGTGTTGCTGTTTTATAATTCAAAAGTTTAAGTTCATTAATTTGCTATTTAAAAACCTATCCCCCGTGAAGTGTAACATCTCAGTAGGTAGATTTTTTTTAAAAACATTTTATGTATGTATGATTTCTTAAAATTCTTGAATTAGTGCAGAACCACTGATGTTATGTTATTACTAGACCTGGTGGCTTCCCAAAAACCCCATACTAGACTAACAGTAAAACAACCAACAAATAAAAAATAATCATTTTCACTTGGGGGACATCTCAATATATTCACCCATATAGAATGCATTTTAATTTAAATTTTATCTAAAAATGACACATTCAATCATTCTGGTGAATTTTACCAAATAATAACAAAATAATAACCCGGAACATTTCCTGCTATCGGGAAAACCGTGGCTGCTCGAATTGGTACCGGTATGCCGAAGCATAGCCGGCTCGGATTCTTCGAGTAGGGGAACGCAACGCTTTAAAGTCTTCGCTACGGCAACGTAACTGGTCTTTCGCCCAAGTGACCAGTGGTACACGTTTCGATCCTCCTCTGGTACCAATTGGTTACATTTTTTATTTTATTTTTTTAATTTGATTGACTTTTGTGTGCAGTGGTTTTATTAATTGATCTGGTGCGTGACAACTACTAATGAAGAATACTTAGTGGGTGAGGATACCTAATTTTTATATTTTAAATTGGTGAGTACCTCAATTATATTTATACAAATCTTTTAATGTTTTTTGTATTAAAAAAATAATAGTAATATATCGCACATCCAGTTCAAGTTTTGGGTTATGGTAGTTTTTAAATTCTTTATTACATTCTATATTTTTAAGAACCTTATTACACATAGGTATAATTATATTGCACTTAAATATCTGTTTTTTCTAAGTGTGCATCCACCATATAAAAGTTTCGTTAGTTCTTAATTTAATATAATATAAAATTATTTTTTCGTTTGATTAAAATAAATGATATTAAAGAAAGAAAATCTGTTTTACTTAATGAGTTAATCCAAATAAAAACACCAAAAATGAATTTTAAAGAATTTTGATTCCTTTAGTAAGGCACTGAATAGTTAAAAGTTATATGTACCTATGTATGTATTTTAAATGTTAGTGTTGGAAAAAAATTTACACAATCTGTAAATACTTCTTTAAATTTTAGTTTTTATATATAGGTAACTGGTTAAAATAAAACATATTATAATAAAGGGGCTTATTTAGAATATTTTTTGGTTTTTGCTTTTTTTAACAATTTAAAACTTTTCAGAACTTGAATATTTTCTATGAGAAAGAGGTACAAAATTATGATATGTTCTTTCATTTTTAATTTCAATTAAATTCATGAATCTCGAACACTCAGTCATTTATTACACTTGCAAACTTGCAAACTTTTTGAAATCACGCACAAATAATATTTATGAAATATTTTTGACAGTTCTAACATTTCTCTACCAAACATGAATTGACTAAGTCAAAGCCATCTAAATTTTAAATTATAAATAAAACTAACAATATCGCTTCTTAACTGCATTAAAAAAATTATTATATCTTTTATATTGATAAAAATAACAAAACAAGAATAACTAGTCTAAAAAGATGAAGGTGGGGACTACATTTCCTGTTTCAGATTTTTATTTTTTCCTCAACATAATGAGGGCAAAATTGGCTAATTTTGAAAATTATCAAGTTTCAATACCTTTTTTAATAAAGAAAATGATAGTCTAGAAACTTAAAATAATAGTTACGTTTTCTATTGTATAAGTACTTGGTACCTGAAAAAAACAACTTTCTAGATTTAGCAGAATAGGCACAGGAGCCAGACAAAAATCACAAAAATTGGCAAATTATTACAAATCTTTAGTGGTTTACCATTCTTTTATGAGATGAACTAATTAGATAATAATAATTAATATTGAAAACATATTTACTAGGCAGTAAAATAAAATTATAATCATTTCAATAATTGCCACAGAAAAAAAGTGTTAGCCTCTTATAAAAGAGTAAGAAAATGATACGATTTCAGGTTTCTAAAGGGTGCCGATTAAAAATAAAGCGACTAAAAATTAAAACGGCAACGGTTTTTCATATATGATACCTAAAAGATCATCCTTAAATTTTTTCATTAAAATAAAAAATCATGCAGCGCACTTTTAAATTCATTTTTGGTGTTTTCATTTGGATTGACTCTTAATTAAGGGAAGTGCTTTTGGATTTATTCACCCAAATTGAATGTTTAAAGTTTAACCTGCGAACTTGTTTTAATTTCATCTGAATAAACAGAAAGAAAAAACCGATGAAAAAATTAATTTTGTGGTCATGTAGTTTTAAAATAGGTACTAAATTTTCTAATCATTGCTTAAGCTAATAGCTGGATGAGTGTGTAACCAGTGGCGTATCACAAAATATATAAAAAAAACTTATAATGCACATTTTTTCTTTATCTTTGGGAAATTATTTTTTTTTTATATTTTTCCGTTATTCGTCCTTACTTTCTTCAAAAAATTCCTCTAACCATTGTTCTTTGAGTTACGGTGGTCTTGAACTGGTGTGGTATATGTACAATAATCAAAAATTTATTAAACAGTTCAAAATGATTTTTTTTTCATTATTTTGTAAAATGCTATAAGCAATAACCAAGATACAGCGTGTCAAAGTTTTAATTTTGTTTTCAATTTTTTTAAATAATTTTTAAAAATTTTTTATCTTTAAGACTGATACCCCTTATCATTTACCATTGATTCGATTTCTTTATTAAATATTTCATCACAGATTATATTGTAATTACATCATTTTGAACTTCATGTATGTTATGTCTACTTTTTATACATCTGCTTAATTTCAAACAACATTGAAAAAATCTTAGAAGGTTTCTGGATTGCGTATTAATGCGTATAATTAATATTGTGCAATAATTATAATCTTATCGAAAAATATTGCACAATAAATATGGAGGTGTATAGGGGTCAATTTCATAAATGGGACCATTTTTGTTGGTAATCGTTTAATATTGTTAAATTAAATAATTATTTAATTGGGCATATTTTTTGGAACGTTTAAAATAGTTATTAATTATTTATATTAAACTCTTGCTTTATGTACGTATAATAAAAACGTATCTTAACCTTAAATCTAATCATTCATCCCTACTCTTTGTTTATGTTGTTGCTTTTTTCTGTCATTTTTTACTAGTATTTTCCTAGTAATTTTAAGTTTGTTTGTTGGCACTCCGAAATCACTACAAGCATAGAAGACGAAGTTTTTGTATTTTTTTAGTTAATTTTATTATTACTACTTTACGGTTAAGGAATAGCCAGCGATTTGATTAAAATCGTTTTTTATACAAAGGCTTTCTTAAAATTTTTTGAGATTATTTAAATTGCTTTTGATCTAAACATATTTCCATAAAATATTGTATTTTGTAAAAATGTTAATATTTTTTACAAACACATTTTTTTAACTATAAAATTCAATTTATTACAAGTTGTTTTAAAAAAGAATGTTTGTAAAAAGGTTTCTTTGAACTACAAAATTAATTTTATTAATAAAAAATCGCGTTAAAACACATTTTACGACAAAATCACTTTTTTAATATATTTACAATTTTGGCGGATGCTCCGGGATAAACATTTGTTGTCGCATGTAAAAAACATTTTTAAATATTTTTTTTATGTTTATTATATTTATAGAAACAACAAGCAATCTAATATTATTTTTAATAAATACACTATTACCGATCATTAAAAAAAGCCCTTGGTTCGTAAAAGGTGTATTTTCACAAAGATTCATATGACCTCTATTATATCAAATTAAAAGTGGGTACTATTACCATAAACAATGCAATTATTAACAAATAGTGATATAATACATTAGAAACCTTTGATTAAAATAAAAGTATTGACATATTGACCTATATACGCTAAAAAAGCATGGTAAAAAAAGTAAAACTTTTAATAATCAGCTGTCAAACGCTTATGTTAAAAAACACAAATAACGTGCCAGATTTAGCTGTGCAATTAAAACTTTACGAACAAAATTTGTCGAGTAAGACTTCTGCCTTCCTCTCTTTTGTGAAAAACGCATATTTATTTAAAAAATATGTAAAGTTTGTATGCTTTAAATGTATTGTTGACAAATCTTAAATTCACACAATGCTACCGAGAGCCATTCATTTCATCTGCTATAAGTTGGTGACACTATCCTTGTATTGTAATTAATGATAATTAATTATAGATATGTGAACAGTATTTTTACTGAAACCTCTAATTAAGATTTTAATCGACCAAATAAACATTACAACCATTTAAAAATAATACTAACATGTAATTTTAATCAAAACATAATTACTATCAAATAAATACTTAATTTATTTCCTAAAAAACCAGCATTTTAATAAAATCATTTTTAAACTTGTTTAATTAATTAATTTGTTATTAAACATTAAATATTGTTGTCTTTTTTGACACATGATTTATATAAAAATTGTTTGTGTAGGTATACGATTCTCCAATAATTTTTGAATAAAATACTTAGTTTTATTTTTTAAATTTATTTATTTTTTATATTTTAATTAATACATTAATTTCATTATTTCCACCTATGGTAAATGAGGTATTTTTATTAAAAATAGTACAATAATCCTTTAAATTAAAGGATTTAATGCTGGCAGGTAAAAAGTGACCATGGTGCGCAATTGATATTTATCACCGAATAAAATAATGTATAAAACTTAAACCAAAGGTAACTTAAATATTAGTTAAAAAATTGTGGGTACTAAAAAAATTAGATTTAATTTAATAAGATAATTATTACCAAAAAAGTGATATTTTTATAAAAAAATTATTGCAGAATCGTATACAGAAGAAAAATCGAACAAAATTATTTTTTTAATTGCAGCGCCAGCTATTACAAATATGAAAAAATGTTTTAGACAACATCTACCTATTTTTAGTCGAATGATCCGAATCTGCAATAAAAAATAGGGTGTTCCATTGGAAAGTTTCAAGTAAAATGCCTCACCCTGTATACAGGATACCAAACAAGTTCAAAACAAAAAAATAATGTAAACGTAGTAATTGACCATGGATAATGTTACCATTGTTTTTATGAGTTGTCTAGAGCATAAAAACAATAAACATGCTAAACGCAGTTAAGATTACCATCGGGTTTTCTTAAAAAAATATAATCCTAAATATTGCTTCCTTATAAGATACAGGGTGTTTTCCAAATCATTGTTAAAGTTGTCTTTACACTCACAGGCAAAATAATCGATCAACACAAATTTTCGATGAATTTCAATCGCAAATTACTCTTTTATTTGATGACGGATTTAAACGAATATTAAAGAATATTGTAGATAAATTAATGGACAATAGCTCACATTTTAAAAAATTACGTACGTTTATAATATACAGGTTAAAACAAAAATATGTTTTTTACCATAAGTTTAAGACACTCTGTAGAGTGGCGAAACCGTATATTGTTCTAAATTAAGTTTTATTTATCAAGTCACATCTATTCTTAACAGTTTTGTTTTTGGTTCACCTCGATATATTTATTTTTGTGGAAAATATGGATTTTTAAAAAAACATTGCAATTTCCAATATTTTCCTGTATGAAGAACTAAGGTTGCTATGGTCCATCCATAGGCTATGGAGAATGACAGTGACAGTTTTGTTGAATCATCCCATACTTGGACATGTCATACACGGCTTTCAAAAGCTATCAAATTATTTTTTGCAAATTAAGGTTTAAATCTTAAGGTGTCTTCTTACTTTAAAAAATGGATATGTCTCCGACTTATGTTGCCAGAGCCATTAATTTAATCCAGGATTGACGGTCACAGTATTACGTGACAAGTGTTTTAAACGTCATAAGAAGTAAAGTACAAAGGGCAACATCAGTCGGAGACATTTTTAAAAGTAACACATTAATTAACAAAAAAACAATTTGATAGCTTTTGAAAGCTGTATATGATATGTCCAAGTATGGGATAGGCTATGGATGGACCATAGCAACCTTAGTTCTTCATACAGAAAAATATTGGAAATTGCAATGTTTTTTTTTTAAATCCATATTTTCCACAAAAATAAATATATCGAGGTGAACCAAAAACAAAACTGTTAAGAATAGATGTGACTTGATAAATAAAACTTAATTTAGAACAATATACGGTTTTGCCACTCTACAGAGTGTCTTAAACTTATGGTAAAAAACATCTTTTGGTTTAAACCTGTATATTATATTCCTTTGTATAGACCTTTTGATTTCGCCGGCAGTAAACTAGATTAAACTGATTTCGGGTGGAGATTTACTTTTACTGTTTCTATATCGGATTCAAACGGTTGTTAATATTAATGCAAAGCACACTAGATTTTTTACAGTTTTAGGTATTTTACTTAGTTTTTTCCACTTGAGTAACTTTCTTCTAATTAATCTTATTAATTACCACGGCCAATTAATGCCTACATACATAACACATACTTACCACACACGTTTTCCTACGCGACCGACTTAAGACTTTCTAAATCTCGATACCCTTGAACGGGACATGCCTTGACTTTGACTGATCTTGCGAGTTAAAACGTTCATTGTCAATGACAAAATTATCTGGTTACCAAATCAACTAACAATGTACGTAAAAAATCCATGGTAGCCAAATCAGCGCCGTATCGGGGCTCTAATGTAATAATCGTTAGGCGTGGTATACACGTTTTCATCCGCATTTTAAAAGTTAAAACTTGTTTTTTAGCTATACGAATACCTACATCAATTGTGTGAATATATTATTTTTTTCCACGCTGTTTTATGAATAATTTGAATGATTCCATACAAAGGTTGATTTACCGAGTTGTAGATACTTCAAGGTTTCATAAATTTATGTCTTTTTTTTCTTTGATAATTTCAGTATTGTTAATTAAGATTGCGTGTTGTTTTTTGCACACCTATAATTATTACTTATTAATAACCAACTTCCAATTCATTTATTTCGTTTTATTTTTAATACAATGATGACATTTGTATAGCAAAAAAAGAAGAAGAAGAATTTTCTGGATTCTGAAGTTAACTACTAATTCCTTGGTCTGACTTCTGAAATAGTTTGTTGCAAATATCATTAAGTGTGGTATCTCTAGTTTGTGAAGCATTTATAATGTTTAGGCCGGAACAGGATGATTTATATATATCTAATATTTTTTCGGGTGATATGTTAAAAGTATTAATTTTGTTGCCATTACTTTTTTATGTTCTCCATCATGCACTGTATTTAAATCACTGTTATTCTGCAAGATGTCCTGTGACGAAGAAATCACTATATTACTTACTCTCTAAAAATGAATTAGTCAAATATGTCATAGCGAAAAAGCAGCCACTAATAATTATCGTCAACAGGAATTTGTATCCAGGACATTTAGCAGTCAATCCCTATGAAATATTATTCGCTGAATCCGAAAATGTCGTCAAAAGTTATAGAAGTAGAACAGTTTTTAAAATATAATCAATTTTACATAAAATATGGAATTGTCTATATCTCAAAAACTGCTTAACATTTATAGTTTTTGACGGTCTTTTCGGATTCAGGAGACAATTTTACATAAGAATTGGCTGGTAAATGTCCGGGATACAAATAGGGTATGATATTGGACATATGTCCAATAATAGAAATTTGCATTTTTTACCAAGCAGTAATTGGACCCTGGCCATTTAACTGTTTGTTTTCAGAATATAAATTAAAACGCATTAAAGTGACAATGTTTAAACCATGAGGAACACATTTATACCACACACTGATCTGTACACTTTTTAGAAATATTTTTTATTGTAATTTAAACACAGCGCTGCTCTTAACAAAAAAACAAAAATCTTAACGTAACGTTCGAACTTTTTTGTCCTATATTGGACCCAAAATAAAGTAGTTCTATATTATTATCGACTGAAATATTTATTAATATTAATTGTCCAATAACTATAAAGTGACCGATTACTGTCTACTTTACCATAATTTGTTTTATGATTTTTACTGAATTGAAATGTTTATAATTTTCATGTAAATCATCACTAAATTGTGTATTTATTGTATCTAATAGGTACAATTTATTTACAGATGCTTTTTAGCGTATATAGGTCAATATGTCAATACTTTTATTTTAATCAAAGGTTTCTAATGTATTATGTCACTATTTGTTAATAATTGCATTGTTTGTTGTAATAGAACCCACTTTTAATTTGATATAATAGAGGTCATATGAATCTTTGATAAAATATACTTTTAACGACCCAAGGGCTCTTCTTATTTATCCATAATAGTATATTTATTAAAAATAATATTAGATTTCTTGTTGTTTCTATAAATATAGTAAACAAAAAAAAATTATTTAAAAATGTTTTTTACATGCGACAATAAATGTTTATCCCGGAGCATCCGCCAAAATTGTAAATATATTAAAAATGTGTTTTTGTCGTAAAAATGTTTTTTAGCGCGATTTATTAATAAAATGAATTTTGTAGTTCAAAGAAACCTTTTTACAAACATACTTTTTTAAAACAATTTGTAATAAATTGAGATTTATAGTTCAAAAAATGTGGTTGTAAAAAATATTAACATTTAAAAAAAAAACAATATTTTATGGAAATATGTTTGGATCAAAAGCAATTTAAATAATAGTAATAACAAAATTAACTACAAAAATACAAAAACTTCGTAAATGTGTCTTCTATGCTTGCGGTGATTTCGCAGTACCAACGTACAAACTTAAAATTACTAGGAAAATACTAGAAAAGTATGTATACGTGCATAAAGCAAGAGTTTTATATAAATAATTAATAACTATTTTAAACTTTCCAAAAAATTTGCACAATTAAATAATTATTTAACTCATTTTTAGATTTTAAACAACAATGCATATAGAACTGTCACTGCCACTGTCAAAAGCGAAAAGTGTTACCAACTATAAAAAACTCGCAATGTATTTTTTGTCTGTTTTTTAAATCAAATGTATTACAAAGACAAAATAAATTAACTAACTAAATTAATTAACGTTTTTTTTTCAGTTTCAAGAAAATACCTTAAGGAGTTAAAATGACAGGCATTGTAGAAAAATTGTCATTTTTGTACCAATGGCACGCTTTGGCAGTTATATCGATTGGATACGTTTTGGGAGAACTAGGACATTACTTAATCGGTAAGAACAAATTTTAATTGGTAGAAGAGGACCAATAGAATGGCCCTCTCAGAACTCCAGATCTGAAACCATTAGACTTTTCTTATAATAAGTACAATAAGTATTACAATGTATCAGATTTATTAAGTATTTATTGATAATTTACTATAGTTTATATAAACAAGGTACCAATTAAATTAATAGTTTTCCAATAAGTAATAATAACTGAATTATTAAACCTAAGCATATATTATTTCTTAAAAAAAAGTTTTTGCATTTGTTAATGTAGGTATTTATTGAAAGGCTATTATTAAGGATTAATAAACAATAATAACAGATAATCATATAAATATGATTTCTAAAATAGTATAATATGTATTAATGCCAAGAAGTTTCAAACAAAGTGAGACATCATGATATATTATAGATTTTTCGCGAAATTTAAATGAACATTTTGAAAGAAGAGCTACCATATGACATCATGGAGACAGCAAATACTTTAAATGAGAATTTATTACCAGCGAAATCCTGTCAAAAATATGAGAAACAATTTAAACATTTTGAAAACTGGTGCAACAACAAAGGGACAAAAAGTTTTAAGGAAGAAGTGTTTCTGGCCTATTTTGCGGATTCAAGAAAATCATATCAGCCAAATACTTTGTGGAGTAAGTACTCCATGTTAAAAAGTGTAATAAAAATTTGGATTTGAGTCTATATTATAAATTAACATCATATATAAAAAGAAAAATGTGGGATACCAACCAAAAAAATCCAATTTTTTTTAGAAATATGACATTTCAAGATTCATTAAAGAAGCACCAGATGAAATTTACCTTTTAATAAAAGTTGCCACTTTTTTTGGGTTGGCTGGTGCTTGTAGGCAAGAAGAGCTTTCAAAGATAATGATTGATGATACAGAAGATAAAGAAAATTTGATTATCGGACAGTAAAAATTACATATCAAGAATCTTTGTGATATCTGATGAAATCAATAATGGTCATTACTTACAACTGTTTCGAAAATATTCAAATTTGCGAAAACTAAATACCCCACACAAGCGGTTTTATGTCAATTATAAAAAAAGACCATGCACTACCAATGTGTAGCAAATAATACATTTGGTAAAATGCCTGCACAAATAGCTGCATATCTAAAACTTAAAAATCCTGAGGAGTACACAGGTCATAGTTTTCGTAGATCCTCCGCAACCATATAAGCCGATTCTGGGGGAGGAATTTCCAATGTTAAGCGACTTGGAGGCTGGAAATCAACGGCTGTCGAGAACTACATAGAAGAATCCATGACCCAAAAAAAATATCACATAAAATATTGGACATAAAAAACGGCTCTTCTGAGTTAAGCCAAACTTTATTAAATAGTATAACAAGTTCTACAATTAATTTAAAAAAAAATTAATGAATGTTCCTTTGTAATAAAAATTAATTTAATAATCATTGTTATCTAACTTTGCGTAGGCTAGTCACGGTGGTCAAAACTAAAGTATAGGACGAATAAAAATGCCAACCAAAACTGATAGCATAATCTGATTATAGACTCTTTTGGTAACACAAAAATGTATTTATCAAAATCCCAGCTGATCCTTTATTAAAGTTTTGCATATTTCTTAGTATTTTAAAATTGTTTATGCCATTTCGATAAAATACTCTAGTACCATTATCAAATGTTTTAAAAATTTGGCAGATACATGACTGAAACATGGATAAATTACATTATAAATACAAAATAATGTAAAATACAGTTTGCAATATCTTATTTATTGTTTTAAGGTTTTAAATAACTAAAGATTCTTTGAAGCAAAATCGATTACTGCTTGCCTTAAATTTTCAGTAAAACTTTTTCTTGGGTTTTACATGGAATTGTTTTTAACATGGAAACAGTATTTTTAAATTCTTCAGTCTCTGTACAAACATGCTTCTTACATCTAGCGATATCCCCTAGAAAGGAAGAGCATATCAAAACTTTAGTTCGTTCGTCCGTCCTCTTCCCTTAAAAATTTTTTATGCCCTTTATGTCTTGCCATTTTGCAGATAAAGCACATACATTCTTGGCTGCCGCGAAATTCTCTAGCAATTTGTAAATTTTGAAAATTTGGCAATTGTGGCTATGGAAAAATACCGTTTTTACCATATTGAAGTAGGTAATTTTAAATCACTTAAGTTAAAGTGTTTGTTTGAAAAAGTCTGCAGTAATTTTTATATTTTCTCAGAAACCCTAAACTCTGAATTTTTCGATTACCAAAAACAATTTTGTCTCCACAGCCAGCACATACCTTCTTTCGATTTTCTTCATGGCTTAACTTGAATTTCGGTTTAATTTTCATTTTAAATACTTTTTTTAACTTTATAAAGTATACATTAAATAAACAACTAAAGCAAAATGTCACTTGCGTTATAACGTATAGCAATTTTTTTCATAACCACCTTAATTATTGTTTTACAAAATTTGCAAGTTGTAATTATTTCATAGACAAACTTCCAGTCTTTTTTGTTATAAAAAATATTTAAGATATAAATCTTTGTTTTTTTTTGTTATGTTTTGTTTTGAGTGGTAAAAAATAATAGGTGACTCAATAAATTAATACTGGGGAGTAAAGTCATTTAAATGATACAAAGTTTATTATTTTGCTTAATTTTATTAAAATTGTACAGGTAGTTTTAATACAATATTTGCAAAATAATATATAGTAATAGAAAAACAAAAAGTTTGCAAAACTTTAAAATAGGATCAGCAGGGATTTTGATAAATACATGTTAGTATTACCAAAAGGGTCTATAATCAAAATATGCTATCAGTTTTGGTTGGCATTTTTGTTCGTCCTATACTTAAGTTTTGACCACCGTGTATTAGAAAAATATTGTACCATATGCGCAAAAATGTAACTGTGCGCACTAGTTAGAAAAATAACTATTTTACGATTAATCCCGGTGCATCCGCCATTTTTTTTTAAACTATTTCTATAAACCCTCTTTTCAATAAGCATTAGGTTAAATACAGACAACAAAACTTATATGGAATCACCCAGTAATTACTAGAAACATTATTCTACTTAATAAAACTGATTTGAAAATAAAAATCACTTTATCTGAACCAATTTGATTACAAAAATTAAGAAAAATTTATTAAAACAAATTTTCTAGAGAACAGATTACAAAAAATGTATTATTTCCTTTTAAATTGTAATTTACCGTAAAATTTATTATCAGAGAAATTCACATTATTGTAATAAAATTATTAAAACGAAATTATAAAGCTAAAGAAGTATCGCTAGTAGCGCCACCACTCGGCTGTTATCATCGTAACAAAAGTACAACTTTTGATAATCAGCTGTCAAACGCTTATGTTACCAACGAGTGTTTTTGAGAATAAAGCCGGAAAATGTTAAAAAATATCGAAAAAACCGTGGCACGATTTGTTGTGTTGTTGGGTGTATTTCGAGATGAAATCCTGGGTTGAGTTTTTATCGGTTTTCCAATAAACAGTGTTAATCCGAATGAAGAAATAAATTTCATACAGTCCCTGTAAATATAAATTGTATCTATTGGATACAATAAATACACATTTTAGTAATGATTAACGTGAAAGTTGTAAACATTTCAATTCAGTAATAATCGCCATTTTTTAGAGAACTCAAATATAAATGGTTGATTTTAAGGTTATGTTTGTGCAAAAATTATTTTTTACTAATTTCTTAAAAATAAACTTAAATATAAATTATATTAGGTAAAGTTATCATTAGTTAATTCTGCACCAACAAATGTACTTGCCGAATTGGATCCTTTGGCAAAACATGAAAATGCAACGATTTAGTTCTTGAATTTTATTTACAATTAAAAACACAATAATTCAACATGATACCTTAGATAAAATACACACACTAACGTAACTATGTAAGCATTTAAGCGTTGAGTTTCTTAATCAATGATATAAAGAATAATCAATCGAAATTGAGTACTAAACCAGTTAACGTTAATGTGCGCGATTTAGCTGTGAAAAAACTAACTATATATTTAAAAATTATGTACCTACAGTCCGTATGCTTTAAATGTTTTAAATCCTTCAATTTAAATATTTTCCAGGTGTAACAAGCAAAGCAATAGCGATAGACCTTCACTTTGGCGACATAGCTTGCCAACTTAACAACACAAATTACCACTTGAGCGAGCTGCCTTTCCCGTGCAGGGGTGCCAACGATTCGGACACGTGCCTCTCCTACAATATCAACGGTACTCCATACTGCGAATGGAACTACAATGGCTTGGGTCTGGACTATCAGATCCTGGCAGGCCCAAGTTTCATCGCGGTTTTTACCATCGTCGGGGTGGCTCTGGGTTTTGCCGCTGACAAGTTTAACAGGTAGATTATATATTTTAATATATTTTAAAAAATTTTATTGACTATTTCCCTCGTCTTAATTTCCACCAATCACAAACGCGCAATTTTGAATTACAAATGGTTTCTAGGTGAAAAAACTGTGTGACAGCACCTTATTCGAGGCAAAACTTGACAGCTGTTGTCACCAAAAATTGCAATTTATATTTTAATTGTTAACTGATGAAATAGTCTTGTCAAATACCATTCGGGCATCTAATTTTTCCTGTGAAAAAAATCGAAAAAACACAATGCTAAGTAATATTTTTTAACAAAAAGCATTCGTGCAGGTGCGAAAATCCTCCTCTTCGACTCGGATTTTTGTTGCCACCAGCACTCATGCTTTTTGTTAAAATATTACTTAGCAACGTGTTTTTTCGATTTTTTTCGGAAAAATTAGATGCCCCTATGATATTACTTACGATAATATGTTATCGTCCTTTCAGGGTTAAAATGTTGTCCGTTTGCACCCTGATTTTTGCTATCGCGATTATCGTCAGCGGCTCAGTGAACGAGTACTGGCAACTGGTGTTACTGCGCATGATCATGGCAGCAGGAGAAAGTGGATGCAACCCTCTTGCCACAGGAATCCTGTCCGACATTTTTTCAGAAGATAAAAGAGCTCTTGTCATGTCAATCTTCAATTGGGGTATATATGGAGGATACGGTAAGAAAAACAAAGTGTATAATAAAATTTGTCATGTATTTTGGGGTGGTGCCTCTATAAACCCAAGTAATGCATTAGGTTTTATTATTGCTGTAACAACAGGCTTAAGACTTTCTTATAACCAAAAAGGGTTTTATAAGTCGAAAATTGTGCGTTACACGATTCTGACCATTGTTACATTTATTTGAAATTCAGCGAATTTTCTTAGGGAAACTTTTTTTTTTATAAAATTTTACTTTGTTTCGGGTGTTACCATGGTTCTGTTTCGGGTGTTACAAGTACAAAAATTAACCACTTTATATCGACAAAATCGGTGTTTTATTAGTCTCTAGGTACTACAAAATAAGTTGGTAACAAATAAACATAAATAGAATGAATTCTCCTTAAACATAACTTAAGCAACTTCGAGTGCGATTGATAAAGGGTAAAATCGTTATTATTGCCAAAAATCGGTAGAAACATAATTATTGACGAAAATCTCAGTATTCGGTATTTTGGTAGGTCCATTGCTATTTCGGTAGAAATACCGAAATTTCGGTAGATTCTACAACACCATCGGAAAAGCAGTCACACCTCTTTAAAACAGGTGTGACTGCTTTTCCGATGGCGGCGCTAGTGGGCCGTCGAAAGAGCCTTAAAAATAATACAGTTTTTAATCAAGAAAAACACATATTAGTCTAATGCTCAGATATTAGTTAGTATTTTAAATCATTACCACCATAACGTTACTTTTACTAAATATTATTACACTAATCAATCTGTAAGGTATAATAGTAAAACATTTACATGATTTTTCGTTTCGGGTGTTACAGTGGCAAAGTAAGAAGAAAACACACTTATAACGTGATAATTATCAATTTTTTCGTGACTGACGCAATCCACCAATACTCCGATAAAAAATCTTAAATCACAACGTGGCAAAACGGTTGACAGATTGATAGTTTTTTTTTCGTGTTTCCAATAATTAGAGGCACAATGGTCATTCAGCCAGTTCACTTGAGTACAGATTTTGAAGACTAATTAACTTAAAAATTACGCGTTACTTCTAGTTTTTTGTCGCACATTATAATTTGGGATGTTTTCTTTCAAAATTCATCAGATTTAATGCGAAAAGAACTTTTTTTTGCTGTAATAATAATCTTTAACTTTTTATTTTTCAGGTATTGCCTTTCCTGTAGGGAGATACATTCCCCCTTTAGACATCTGGGGTACGGGATGGAGGATAACCTATTATGGAGCTGGAGTAATCGCTTTAATAATGGCTTTTCTTACTTGGTTCACCCTTAAGGAACCTGAAAGGCAGAGCATCGGTGAAAATGCCACTTCCGATGAAAATGCTAAAAAAGTAATAGCAATTAAAAAACCGTCTCAGCATTCTCACCATTTTTGTTTTTATCTTTAGGTGACAATTTGGACGGTTATATTGGAACCAAGGGTCATAATGCTGTGTTTGGCTGCTTCAGTAAGACATTGCGGTGGAATGTGCTTCGCATACAACTGCGATTTGTACTACCAACTGTACTTCCCAGACTATGACCTTGGTTGGTGGTTGTTCGCTGTAACCATCGTAATTGGTAAGAAAAAAAAATTAAAAAATGAATTGAACGTTTTGTATGCTCTAAGGTATATCCATGTTTTATATACTCTAAGGTAAAGCATCTTGGGGCACACAATACATATTGTTTTCAAATATTTGACTAAATACTGTTTATTTTTGCAGGAAGTATTGGTGTAGTGGTTGGCGGTATTGTTTCCGATAAATTCGTAGCAAAAATGGGTATAAGATCGAGAGTCATTATTTTAGCATTATCGCAAATTATTGCTACGCCACTGGCTTTTGGTAGCGTATTTTTTAAACCAACATGGGCCATGATCACTTTGGGATTGTCCTATTTCTTTGGTAAGAAAATTTGTTGAACAAAATATTTATTATTAATTTTACGACAAAAAGTTATGCCTGAAAAAAAATTTGCTTCTTAAGAAAAATATGGTGGTAATAAATTAGGAAAACATTACAATTCTTAGAAGAAAAAGTACCATTATTGATAATTTTTAATTTTAACATTTTTTAATTTTAATACATACATATATTTAATTAATATAATAAAATATTTTCTCTTTTTCAGCTGAAATGTGGTTTGGTATTCTTTTCGCCATTTTGGTAGAAATTGTGCCTTTAAAAGTACGTTCAACGACCGTAGGAATATTTTTGTTCGTTATGAACAACATTGGTGGAAATTTGCCGATTCTTGTGGAACCTGTGTCAAAAGCTATCGGATATAGGGAAAGTCTCTACATCTTCTATGTTGGAGCTTATTTATTGAGTAAGTCAAATCAAATTCACACGGAGAGAAATGTATAGTAAATTTTAGATGGTAAAAAAAATATAGTAAAATTTACTTTAAAAAATTTTTAGGGTAACAATATTATATATTCGTCAATACAATATTAAGATTGTAATACAAAATACTATTTTTTATTATACAATTTTAGTAAAGACAACACCAATATTACTAAATCATAAATGTATAATATATTTTTTAATTTTTAATAAGTTCGTATAGAAAATTGATTTTACTATCTACAAATAGTAATATTTACTATATGATTTAATCAAATGTAAGGTGTACATTAGGGTGGGCCGAAAATCCGCTTTTTTAGAATTTCGTTTAGTAATAGCAAAAATTTTGTTCATTATGTTGTAAAAAAATTTTGTGTAAAAGATTAAAATTTTCGATCAACATCTTAGGCTCGCCCAACGCAATTAAAGATCAAAATGTTCAAAAAAATTTTGATACTAAAATCGGGTTTATTTCTAAAACTATCCATCTGAAGTAATTTAGTGTAAGGACCTTTTTTGTAGAGCATAAAATTTCCGATCGAATTAAGTTAGGAAAATTTTTTTTTGAACATTTTGATCTTTAATTGCGCTGGGCGAGCCTAGGATGAGGATCGAAAATTTTAATCTTTTACACAAATTTTTTTTACAACATAATGAACAAATTTCTGAAACTATCCATCTGAAATAATTTTGTGTACAGCATAAAATTTCCGATCGAAATAAATTAAGAAAAATTTTTTTTGAACATTTTGATCTTTAATTGCGTTGGGCGAGCCTAGGATGTTGATCGAAAATTTTAATCTTTTACACAAAATTTTTTTACAACATAATGAACAAAATTTTTGCTATTACTAAACGAAATTCTAAAAAAGCGGATTTTCGGCCCACCCTAGTGTACATCTAATATTATAATATATTACCCTTAATACAAAATATAGTAAAAATAAAGATACTTTTATGTTTAAGGTAAATAAACAATATATTTAAATATAATATACAATAAAGTAACTCACGACATTTTAAACATTCAATTTTCTTAGTTTCTTCAATAAACTTTCTTGACCCATTACTGGTAATACTTATAAGAAAGAATTGAACCTACTTGGTTCCATAGTATGTACCGATTGCGGCAAAGGCCACGTCGCGACGCGTCGTTAGACGGTGTGGATCACGTGATGTTCTTACATCTCGCCTCTGTTGGCTTACCAACCATGTTATATAAGCTCAGTTATTTCTTTGTTTTGGGTGTGTTCCACTACTATAAGTTGCTCGACAGTGTCGTGACGACACTTATGATACCCAACATAGGTCAAAACACCTGTCGGTATTTGAAGTTGATGGAACGCACTCAAAACAAAAAACTTTGGCGAGGTGTAGGTTCAATTCTTTCTCATAACATTTTTTTATATTAAAAAATACAATGAATATGTTACAATTTTTAATTGTTAACATAAAAATATTCGATTTTAAAATGTTTTATATTTAAATGGCAACATTATATTTTAAAATTTACTATACTTATTAGTAATGGAAAAAATCTAATTATAATAAGAATTAAAAACAAAATTGGTTGAGAATAATAATATTTTACCTTACGTTTAACATACTTACATGGATATTTAAAAATTACTAAATATGCATAGTATCTGGCAATATACAAGACACAACGAAGTTTAAGTCACATAAAAATGACGCCAAAAACTAATTGCAGTTTCTTGTTCGGGACCCTTTGGTGAATTAAAAATGATATTTACCAAAATCCCAGCTGATCCTTTTTTCGAAATTTTTTCAAAATTTATGATTTTTTTTTTTAATTTTTGTTTATTTCAAAGTCTACCTTTCACAGAGTACACATTTGTACACCGATTTTTATAAAATTAGAGTATATTATTGAGGAGACTTAAAGAATACTTTTTAATAATGTTCACATCATTTGATATATACGGGGTGGACCAAAAATCGCTTAATTTTAATAAAGCAAAAGCGTAAATTCATGATTTTGGCATAACAAGCAAAACAGATGTATCCCCATTTTTTTAGATATTTCTCTGTTTATTAGGTTACAAAATGGCATTCTTATTAACCTTTTATTAAAAAAATAGATTTTTAATAAAATTAAATAAAATAACGCTTAGAGAATATTTAAAATGTTGTTTAATTTAGGCTTTTTAGAAGTTTTCAATTTTGAACGAAAAACTGGTTAAAGTTTTTTGATCGGCACTCTTTGGAGATTTAAAAACGGTATTTACCAAAATTCTATCTGCTTTTCTTTAAATTTGTTAAAAAATCATTTTTTTTTAAATTATTTGTTTATCGCAAAGTCTACCTTTGCCAGAGTACAGATTTGTACACCGATTTTTATTGATTGCAGTTTCTTGTTCGGGACCCTTTGGTAACTTTAAAATGATATTTAACAAAATCCTAGCTGCTCCTCTTTTCGAATTTTTTTGAAAATTCTTAATTTTTTTGAAAATTCTTAATTTTTTTTTTAATTTTTGTTTATCTTACCTTTGGCAGAGTACACATTTGTACACCAATTTTTATAATATTGGAGTATATTGTTAACGAGACTTGGAGAATACTGTTTTCATACTGAGCACATCATTAGATTTATACAGGATTAGCCAAAAATCACGTTTTACTATAGTAAAAAGCATAATGCACAAAACAGATTTATCTCCAAAAAAATTATTTTATTTAATTTTATTCAAAATCAATTTTTCTTATAAAGTCTTGATAAGAATCCCATTTTGTAGCCTGATAAACATAAAAATATCTAAAAAAACATGGGTGGGTATTGTAATGTCCACTATGTATTTTCGTAACCCGATTCTTTAAGTATACTGAAATACTTATTTTGGCATATTCGTGATCGTCTAGATAATTTACTTACTTTATAAAAATTAGGACTCTACGTTGTGTATTTACTTACATTGATAATAACGTTATTTTGAAATTGGTCAGGTTTAATGAAACACAAGCATTTAATTTTTAAACCCCTGATTTAATTTAAGCAAAGACAAAGGGGTGGCCCGTTGAGTCAAAGAACAGGGAAAAGGGACCATAAAAACCCTGTCGACTTACACAGTTCAAATAAAAATAAAATACAAAACAAAACATAGTTATATGGGTCATAATCACAAGAATGTAGTATAAATAATAAGTGAATAAAATAACATAAAAAGCAGATAAACATATTTCATATAATTTGGGTGTTTTTATCAATATTCAAAACATTTTGTACTCAGGTAAAATAGTTATAATAGAGATCGTCATTTTATGACGAAGTGTTTGTTTATTTGATTACCTTACCACGCATCTTCGAACTATTGAACGAAGACACGATTTTATATAAATAAACTACAGCAACGACATATTTCTGATAGAAAGAATTCATATGCTTTAACCAAGTGCAGATATTTAACCGTAGCCAATAACCACACTATGGAACAATTGCATACTCTGCGAAGTGATATAACGACAGCTATGGTGGTCCTATCTCACTAAAGTGTCGCTATATCACAATATGTTCAAATATTCTTACAAAATCAATGTCCAGAACAAGACAAAAGTATTGCAAAAATATACAAACAATTCTGCACACAGAGTTTATATAGGTAATAACATAAAAACACTATTTTTCTTCTAAGGATAAATCCTTTTGAAATAATGCTAATATATTACCCATGTTCAAATATTCATGTATGAGCACTCTCCAAACGAAAATACAAGTACAAATACAGACACAAATAAAATAAACAATATGCAATAAAATAAAATGGTATAAAATATAAATAAAATACAATAAAATAATAAATAGGAGAGAGTCATAACAAGAAACACCTGAACATGGCCAAAACTCTAACCACCAGAAAGTATCGCGCTGAATAATAACATAAAGAGATTTTTATCATATATAGTAACGTTAAAGCCATTATCAAATATTCCAAATAAAGCGCTAAGATAAGCAGTTTAAATCAAAGTCTCTATCCAGAATCTATCAAAAGGTTAAACGATACTATTACCTTACCATGATATGACCTAATGGTAATATCAAATTTAATAATAATAATAAGAGCAATAATAATAATAATAATAATAATAATAATATTTTATAAACCTTACCCAAATAATACCAATATAATAATAATAATAATATTATTGTTAAAAGATTTAGCCTGAGTACAAATGCAAAGAGTTAAAATAAATAAATACCTTAATACCGAGATGATACACTGAGTTTCATAAACAATAAAATACATTTCAGTTAAATAAAAAGTTATACAAAATTATAAAAAAGGAAACAACAAAATCAAGGCCAGTATAACTCAAAATAAAGACAATACAAAATAGTAATATTTAAGGTAAATGTACTTCAGTGCACATGATAAACGCGACAACATAAAGATTTAAACTCAGTGTATGCGAGATCCCAAGATATTAAACCAAAACAATGAAATAGTGATACAATAAAAATTATTACCAAAAATCACTCGCTATTTACACATATTAAAATGATTAGGACCCAATAAACTAGCAATGATAAACGTCATAGACAAAAATGCGAATTAAATAATATTGTTCAAAATTATAAGCAAAAATGTATTAAAAAAACCCAAAACGAGGAGTTGTTTATCATTACTAGCAAATTTACAATTTTTCAAAGTGTACATACCTAAGTAGTTATAGCAGAAAATCGGTAACAATCACAAAAACTATAACTATATTATACTTAATATATTTCACAAACGGTTTAACAGGAGTATCTCGAAGGGCGAGCAAAAACCCTCTGTGTGTATTCTATTTCCTAATCTAGCTTTTAAACATCTCGGCCACTTAAGCAAGAATGTGTAATATAAACATATCACCCCAATATTTCTACGTTCAGATACAAAGAAGTGGAATTTTAAGACTCAATAGTTTTTTAAAACATAAAATAACTATAATATTATTTTTTCGTGGATTATTCAAAATTTCCTTGGTTAAAATAGCGCCAAATTTGAATTTAAAAGTTTATATACTACAGGACCCTTACAGTATATATCTTTTTTCGTGTTATGCCAAAATCATGAATTTACGCTTTTGCTTTATTAAAAGAAGCAATTTTTGGCTAACCCTGTATATATTAAATGATGTGCACAGTATAAAAAGTATTCTCCAAATCTCCTTAACAATGTACTCCAATATTATTAAAGTCGGTGTACAAATGTGTACTCTGTCAAAGGTAGACAAAAATTTAAAAAAAAAATCATGAATTTTCAAAAAATTTCGAAAAGAGGATCAGCTAGGATTTTGGTAAATATCATTTTTAAGTCACCAAAGGGTCCCGAACAAGAAACTGCAATCCGTTTTTGGCGTCATTTTTATATGACCTAAACTTCGTTCAGAAGATAGTTGTCCCAAATACTAATACAAATTATAGTAAAGGGTATTATAATTATGGTAATCAGCATTATACTTTTCTCTCCGTGCAATTTGACTAAAAAATTATGTTTTTGTTACTTTTAGGTTCCTTCATGTTCCTTGGCACAGTCTTCCTGATGGAGGGGCCCAAAAAACCGGAAGGACAGCCCCAAAAAGAACTCTCAGGCTTCGATAACACAGTCTTTAGAGGTGACGACCACACCCTCCCAACCATCACATCATTGGTACAAAACGGCAAAAAAAATTCAGCCGAAAGTAGTCGACTGTAGATTTTTTTCGGTATTTTTTTTTGCTTACCAAATGTGATATTCAATGCAGTACAATCAAAGACTTTTGCACGATTGTATATAGTTTGTAATTTGCGTGTTAAGTTGTGTAAATATAGTTAATTTATTTTTAATTTTTTTTTCATTAAAACAACTATGTTGTAAATAAGCTCAAATAAACAATTAAACTTAAAATGACGTATTATTTAAAATCAAAATCAAACCGCACTTTCGTAACTCTTCGCGTTTGGAAGTTACACTCTAAAATCGCGATATTGTGAATTTTTTCTGAAAAACATGAAAAAAAAGTTGCAAAAATAATTTTTCCTTCCTAATTCGAGCACGCTGATTCCATAAAATCAAACCGCACTTTCGTATCTCTTCGCGTTTGGAAGTTAAACGCTTTTAGCCTAAATAATTATGTCAGTGGTAAAGGGTAGTGTTAAATAAAAGACAATTTATAACATTTATCAACATTTATTCACTTGTATTTTATTGTCTGAACAAGTTCAATAAAGAGTATTTAACAAAAAATCGTGTGCAACAATTTTTTAACGCTACGCTGGTTAAATTAAATAATACTAAACACTGCTTTGTTTTACTTAGACAACGCAAACTTAAGAAAGTTGCAAGGAACTAAAAACGGGGAGAAAAAATAAATACTATACAGGGGTCCGCTAAAACACTTGTTTTATTGTTTTAATTTTTTTAATGATCACTCCAAAATTTGCAGTTTTAAATAATGTAAAAATCTAGAAAAAATCACAGACATACTATTTAAGCGAAAAATAATACACGGGGGACGAAATAGTGATAATCAAGTTTTTACCACTGACAGTTAAATTAATTGACTATTGTCAGGGGTAAAAACTTTCCAAAAAAAAACAACCATTTCCTTAATTACCAACAAAATAAATATTGTTGCAAAATGGTAATTTTTTTTGGTCACCAAAGAATTATAAATACTTATACAACAGGTGTTTCCAAAAAGTGTCACATCCATACTTGACTGTACATATTTGTTTCTATCTAATTATAATTATTTATTAAAACTCTAAGAAGTTCGGATAAAGAATTAAATCAACCTGGATCTGCGTGAATAACCTTATAGAAGAAAATCAAAATTTCCGCGGGAAATTTTGATTTTTTCATATTGTCTCTCCACATCAGCCTTTTTCATTTAAAAAATCAACACAAGAAAAATTGTAAATTTATATTTATTAAACTTACATTTAGAGTTAAAACCATTTAAATTATTATTTTACAGGGCGATTTTCATAAAATCCATCGCTGTATATAGGCCACAACACAAGACATTTTTTTCTTCAATTAACGAAATAACAAACAAATTAAAAACAAAAATCTTTTCTCTAAGTTTCGATGTTCACGCAGATGCATTTTTTATTTTTTTGATGGACTGTCTTTTTTATTTAAAAACTACTTAAGCTACTGTCGTCGTAGGTCCTATTTTTAGACAACATTTAAAAGTACAATCGGTATGTTCATATTTAACCTGAAACAAAGAAAAATGTATAGGGTAAACCACATACACTCACAGGCAAAATAATCGATCCACACAAATTTTCGATGAATTTCAATCGCAAATAACTTTTTTATATATATAATATTCTTTAATATTCGTTTAAATCCGACATCAAATAAAAAAGTTATTTGCGATTGAAATTCATTGAAAATTTTTGTGGATCGATTATTTTGCCTGTGAGTGTAGTTATTGTACACTTACGGAATATAATAATTTAAAATTTATATATATATATGGGTGATTCTACAAAAGTTGGAGTGGGTATTTTAATATTTTTTGTAAATATTTTAATATATTACAAAAGATTCAGGTTTTTTTAACTTGTACACCCAATTTTAATGTATTTTTTTAAAAGCACGCTTGTTGAAAAACAAAATAAATATTCAAAACAGTACCTTGGCGTGTCACCTCCTGAATCAAATATTTGAGTGATTTTATTTTAAAATATATTCAATTAATCTTAAATTTTTTAATTTCTCTACAAACTATAAAACATTAAATAATGTATTTTTCATATTTTATCATAGATTCAAATAATAGCAATTTAAAAAAAATTGATAATCTTTGTACTCACTTTTACCCGTCAGTTCTGTGTCCAATGTTAAAATTCAAAATTCCTGCGAAATATTAAAGTTTAAACGTCAAGTCCCCGTTTTAACTCAAGTGTTGGTAAAAATTAGCTACAGAGCCCGCCCTTTGCACGACAGTCATCTTGAAAACAATGCAAGCGGCGAAGTTGTGGTGAATGCACGTATAGTTCCAGTCAAAATTTCAGTACTGTGGTGAGTAGTTATTTTCTTACGTGTATATATTTCATTGTAATTTATATAAGGCTATATGTGATTTGTTGATAAGTAGCATCCACTAATAAAAAATATCAGTAAAATACTTAATTCCGAATTATAATCTCAAATTTGTATCCCATTCATCAGTACCGTGTCGTCAGTTCCATGTTCGATGTTTCGGTTATCTTTTTTTCGCAGACTTCAATTTAAATTCTGCTTGCGCAGAACTTGTTTATTTAATGACATTATAAACTCATATAAATTTGGTGTGGGTCCCATATCTAATAATTGAGATATCGGTATACCCAAAATCCACCAGCCGCCACTGATGTGTGGTATTATTTGATTTTAAGATATTTAATGTATAACATGCTCAAAGTTGCAATAAATCTTATGTTTTGCAATAAATTATGTATTTAATTAGTACCCTGGTATACTCGTCACTTCCCTTGCATTCAAATTTAGAAAACACAGACATTTCAGAAACTGTTTGAAAAAGTGATTGGCCCGGTCTGGAACAGTATATTTATTATATTATCTATGTTCTCATAACAAAATACTGTTTAATTTTATCCGAAAACTATATAAACAAAATGAGGTCAAAAGTTGCCCAACTTTTGTAGAATCACCCATATAGTTTTTTTCTTATAAATATATAAAAAGGATAGTTTGTTTGTTTAAACTTTATTTACGTTTACTTAAAAATAAGAATATTTGAATTTTTAATAATAGTTTTATAAAAACATGCAAAAAAGTAATTGGACACATAGTTATTGGACATAACAACTTTTCATCAAATAACATAAATTGTTAAATATTTTTTAAAGATAAATTGCTGTTTTAGGTAATTTTTTTTTATTTCGTTTTTTTATATATCATATAATTCATATATTTCTTTCTCGGATTCCTCATCCCTTTTCTGGATTATGATGATAACTACTAATTCCTTGGTCTGACTTCTGAAATAGTTTGTTGCAAATATCATTAAGTGTGGTATCTCTAGCTTGTGAAGCATTTATAATGTTTAGGCCGGAACAGGATGATTTATATATATATCTAATATTTTTTCGGGGGGTATGTTAAAAGTATTTTCCGAATTTATTAATTTTGTTGCCATTAGTTTTTTATGTTCTCTATCATGAACTGTATTTAAATCACTGTTATTCTACAAGATGTCCTGTGACGAAGAAATCGCTATATTACTTACTCTCTAAAAATAAATTAGTCAAAAATGTCATAGCTAAAAAGCAGCCACTAATAATTCTCGTCAACAGCAATTTGCATCCAGGACATTTAGCAGTCAATTCCTATGAAATATTATTCGCTGAATCCGAAAATGTCGTCAAAAGTTATAAAAGTGGAACAGTTTTTGAAATATAATCAATTTTACATAAATATGGAATTGACTATATCTCAAAAACTGCTTAACTTTTATAGTTTTTGACATAAGAATTGGCTGGTAAATGTCCGGGATACAAATAGAGTATGATATTGGACATAAGTCCAATAATAGAAATTTACATTTTTTACCAACCAGTCATTGGACACCGTCCATTTTACTGTTTGTTTTCGGAATTAAAATTAAAACGCATTAAAGTGACAATGTTTAAACCATGAGAAACACATTTATACCACACACTGATTTGTACACTTTTTAGAAATATTTTTTATTTTAATTTAAACACAGCCCTGCACTTAACAAAAAACAAAAATCTTACCACCAAAGTAACGTGCGAACTTTTTCGTCCTATATTGGAGCCAAAATAAAGTAGTTCTATATTATTACCGACTGAGATATTTATAATTGTATACAGCGTCACCTAATGATTTGACTTTAAGGTAACAATTTACATAACTCTTGTTTTTACAGTATTAATGTTAATTGTCCAATAACTATAAAGTGTCTGATAACTGTCTACTTTACAAATACAAGGTAAAAATGTTTTTTTACTTACAGTTTAAACAGGTGTATAATTTCCCTTTGGCGTGTAGATCAGTTTGCCGGTGGCCACGCGCCTTAAAATTTCCCTGGCCAAAAGCCTTTTTTCCTTCTTGATTTTCTTTAACACTCCCTTGTTCTCATGGGCTCGCCTCGACAAATATGGAAGAACCTACGTAAAATAATAACATTTTTTGGACTTTTTTTTCATGTTCAGGGAATTGAAGAATGTGTCAATTTTAAGCTACACCCTTGTGGAGATTTGGAAGTTTTCTAGAAGAGTTAGTAAGACTTTTATCAGGGAAATAGCGATTCAAATAAATATCCGGAATTATTCAGAGAGGTTGTATTTGGTTATTGTAAAAGAAGACACAAAGAATAGGAGATTAGTTCTTAATGCAATTTTATCTATTTTGCAAAAATTCTATAAAAAAAATAATTTTATACCTTAAATTTAATTTGGTCGAATTTTACTTTAGATAGTTGGTACCACAGTCATTGTTTTGACAGTTAATGTCAAAATCGATTCGCCATGCCGTCCTTAATTTACTTATTTACAATAAGCCGCTGTTAATGTTAAAGAAGAAAAAAATTATTTTCTCTGGTGTTAAACAAAATTGATTGCCAGAACAACAGTTAAGACATACTCATCATCATGCTATTGGTCTGACTTACCAATACTTATTCAGACTTTTTAAAAGAGAGTAAGACTCTCAAAACTCTTATTTTTACTCATTAAAACTTGTTCAAAGAAAAATTTCCACAAGGGTATCTAAGGCTGTTTGACTTCAAAAGAAGCAAATTCCCTCCAATGTTGTAGGAAATTTATAAATAATAATAACTCAACCTCGAAAATATTTATTTCAGAAACCTGAAGAAAGATGTATCCTAAATTCTCTTTTATTGTCTCTGAAGTGGACAAAACTCTGTTTGGAAATAACTTTACGCCGTTTTATAGTAAGACTCAAGAAGTACTTATGAGATACTTTGGATAAAAACAAGAAACAGAACAATAAACCCATTTCATTATATTGTTTTTTGTAATAATGTATTTTTATACATACCTCATTTACAGGTCCATACGGGATATATTTGTACGCGGAGTAGCCAGATTGACCTGTAATAATAAAAGACCAAGCGTTATTTAGTGAAACAATACTAGTTTTTATTAATAAGTGAAGATCTCGAAAATTAAGCTTAAAATTGCTTCGCTCCTCATTCCACATTACAACATTATGTAGGTAATATTATTATAATATAATATAATATATAATATTATAATGCTAAACAATTTAAAAAAACACTTTTTGACTCATTTTTTAAATAAACTTTGTTTACAAAATGTTGTAATCAAAGTGTTAATGCAAACGTCCAAAAAGTCGTATTTTAGGTAATTTTAACACTTTTTTAATATCAATTTTATCGTAAAAACGTGTTGTATTGTCAAAAAAAGTGGTTTTAACGCAATTTTAAAAAATTTGCAAGAAAACCATTCTCGTCTAGCGGCTCGTGGTCTTAAAAATTAATGCCTCTTGCGAAATTTACAAGAAAAAAATATTCGTATAAAAATCAAATTTTATCGTTTATACAGGGTGTTATGTAATTAATGTTATATATTAAAATGGGTTGTTCCTTAAAGTCCATAAAGAAGCACCTGAAACTTTTTTTTCTAAATTCCAAAGACTAAAAATAATTTATAATAACCTTTATCCTACCAAAAAGTACGCCACTGATCGACTAGGAACTTTAGGCTAATCTGGTTGCCTAATTTAATTTATTATGTTATGGTTGGTAACAACAGCGTTTCCAAATTCTGTCAAAAAAGTTGCCAAACATTTTTAAATTTAGCTTAATTACAAAAATGACAAAATTAACAATGCAAATTGTCAATTTGGCGTTTTTATTAATTGTTGTTTATGTCATTTTTGTACTGAAGGTAAATTCAAACAAAATCTGGCAACTTTTGTAACAGAATCTAGTGAATTTCTTTCAAATTTTAGGTTATGTGCTCAAATTGTAAATATCTTATCTAAGGGAAGTGCTTTTGGATTTATTTACACAAATTAAATGTTTAAAGTTTAACCTGTGAACTGGTCCCAATTTCATCTGAGTAAACAAGGAAAAAAACCGATGAAAAAATTAATTTTGTGGTTATGGATTTTTTAAAATAGGTACTAAATTTTTTAATCATTGCTTAAGCTAATAGCTGGATGAGTAAATAAATACAGAAGGGCATAAAACTATTGTATTTATTGAGTTTTTATTTATTTTTTGCAAGAAAAATTTTAAGTAACAACTTTTTACATCTGGCAACGCGCAGCTACTTTGTTGGTTGGTATCTATGAACTCACAGAACACAAGTGTGCAGAGATAAACCAAGTGTGTAAAACTTCTAATACATATTTTTTCTTTATATTTGGAAAAATATTGTTTTAAATATTTTTCCTTTACTACTTATGTCAAAAGGTATTCAGTATTTTAATATATAACATTAATTACATAACACCCTGTATACGAAAAACTGAGATATAAGTTAAAGTATTTTTATCTAATATGTTATAAAGATTGGTAAAGGCGTTTTAGAGTTGGATTTTTTTACTTGTTATGCGTTAATTTTGACGCGCAGTGTATTTTATTTAATTGAAAAACCATAAAAATAGTTTTTTTTGTTATGTTATTTTCTTGAAATATTAATATTGTGACTTTTTTTAAGTGTGATCTTCAAATTATTCGACAATTTAATCTAAAAATCGAATAATTTTATAGAAATTTCGATGAATTTCATAAGAGAATAATATTTTAATTTAAAATATTATTTAAATTCAAAGGTGGGAATGAACTAAAATGGCGGTAACTGGGTGGTGCGCAAAGCGAACCAAAATTCGTCCTGCTGAAGAACATACCTCGTTTTCTAAGAAAACTTTTCTTGTACCATGCAACTACCTGTAAGCAAGAGAAATGCACTCACCGAGCGGGAATGTGATGTAGTCGCACATGGCCAGCAGCTGGCCGAAGCAGATGACCTTGTCGGCCGGCTCGATGCCGAACTCGCGCATCTTCTCGATGGCGAACCTGACGGTGTTCTCGTTGTGCGACGCCACCATGATGGCGATCTTCTTGTCCTCGCCCTTGTCCTTGAACGCCTTGATCCGCTGCAGGCACTCGGTCAGCGTGCTGTGGTACATGTCGGAGGTGGCCTCGAAGTTCGGGTTCGTCGGATCCGGGTAGCCCATGGCCGCGGCCCTCGCCCTCTCCTTAAACAACCAACCACATTTTTTTCTCTTCACAGAAAACGTTTTCGTTAAGGTAGCATTATAAACAGGGTTGCCAGATTCTGTCAAAAAAAATCGGGACATTTTGTATGAATTTATCTTAATTACAAAATTAACATAATGATACAAGTTTGACGTTACTTAATTATTGTTGATTGTGTCATTTTTGTAATTAAGGTTAATTCACACAAAATGTTTTTTTTAAGAATCTGGTTACCCTGATTATAAATTAGAACCTTTATACAAAGATAATACACCCCATAGATTGGAAACTCTCTCACCACTGCCCTCTAGAGCTACAATACCTGAACTATATCTATTTGTAAATTGCAGACATCTGTACAAACGCTATTTGCAAATGTCAATGTCAATTATAATTATTGATGTCGATCATAATTTTTGAATTATTAAATACATGTTTACGCCTTAAAAGTGATAAAACGTGTTAATGGTTGTGAAATGTATTGTTGTTGGGTGCGGAAATGTAACCAATTTGTAAGTATTGACTATCCTGCCGTCCTAAGCCAAAAAGACTCATCTCCAATATTATTAAATTATTCTCTTAGCAAAAAAGACGCATTTTAACTACACATACATTTGTAAGTACTAAATCTCCTAAAAATTTCTAATTAAATTGAACGTATCTTTTGAAAAAAAAATAAAGTTGCGTCTTTTTGGCTAAGCTCGGCAGTATCGCTCTAGCGTAAAAATACTGTTTGTTAATTATGAATTATTTAGGATTGCTTGTTTAATGGTAATTTAGTCGAGGCCAAGCCCAGGCTACTTATGGTTGTTTCAAAACCAAGAGTTGGCAAGATGGATTTTTCACGGTTGGTTAGAACTTGCCAAAAGTCCACACTCAAAAGCCTTGTACAAATTCCTATATGTATATGTATAAGTAGCCTGGACTAAATTACCAAATTTTGCAATATTCTCTTATTATTGAAGAATTAAGACTAATATTTTTTAGGTTTGCACTCCCCACACAAAAACATATTCATGTATACCGATTATGTATTTAATATGTACATTAGGGTGTTTCATTTTCAGGAGATATTTTTTTTCTTTCTGTCCTACCTAAAAATCTGATAATTTATATATAAAAAAATAAATTTCTGTTGGAAAAAAAATTCCAAGTAAATTAGAGGCTTCACTCTTTTAAAAAATCGATTTCCCATGTAAATTACACGGGAAAAAGTTTTTTTCAGCTTCAACTCAATTTTTTTGGCGTTTCAAAATTTTTTTGGACAAAATGAGTATGCAGCTTTTGTAGGGAATTAAATTTGCTTCAAAAAAGTTCCCTTGAGCAAACGCTTTCCGACCAACAGTTTTTGAGTTGTAGAGCTGGAAAGGTAAATGTTAATTAACAAATTTCCTTTCAATTGAAATTTATTGATAGTTAAAAATAAAGGCGTATGCAAACTTTTAAAGAACAAAATTGGAAAAAGTTTGTTGAATTTTGCCTGCCGGCCTCATATTTGTAAGCTGGTTTTACGTTGTGTTTTCCAAATATACTGGCCAACAACTTCAGGCCCAAATGTACCAATATTCAAGTTTCAACAGAAATGGCCAAGAATAAATAAAAATAATTATAAAACAAGATTGGATGACCACATGGTAGCCTCGATTATACGTGATAAAAGAGATGGTATTCTGCATCGCCTCCGTGGCATAAAATAGAATTAGAATTCATAATTTTTACCTTTCAATAAATTTCAATTTAAAGGAAATTTGTTGTTAATTAACATTAACATTTACCTTTCCAGCTCTACAACTCAAAAACTGTTGGTCGGAAAGCGTTTGCTCAAGGGAACTTTTTTGTAGCAAATTTGATTCCCTACAAAAGCTGCGTACTCATTTTTTCCAAAAAAATTTTGAAACGCCAAAAAATTGAGTTGAAGCCGAAAAAAACTTTTTCCCGTGTAATTTATATGGGAAATCGAATTTTTGAAAGAGTGAAGCCTCTAATTTACTTAGAATTTTTTTTCCAACGGAAATATATTTTTTTATATATAAATTATCAGATTTTAAGGTAGGACAGAAAGAAAAAAAATATCGCCTAAAAATGAAACACCCTAATGTACATATAGATGTATTATTTGATTTATATTACTACAATAAATAAATCTTATATTCATAATTGTTTTATTTAAAATACAGCAGTAAATACAATAAATAAAGGCACCCTACTAAGCATCAACAATCAAATATGGCGCCAATATATGTTACAGAAATCTACTTCAATTTTTTGCATTGCTAATGATTTTGTAGACCTAGATGGCGTTAATTTACTTTGGCCTTTTGCCGCTAGCGCTAGTGCAGTTTCCAATCTATGTGGTGTATTATCTTTGAATGATTTGCATTGTAAGTTTGACGTTACTTAATTGTTGTTGATATTGTCATTTTTGTAATTAGGGCTAATTCACACAAAAGGTCGCGATTTTTTTTTAAAAGAATCTGGTAACCGTGATTATAAATTAGAACCTTTATACACAAAAAATCGTTTACGCCATTTTATACATAAATTAATGAGTGTATAGAAAAGTTTATAAACGATGTGCATACTATACTTTTTCTACGACAAATACTTATCCTAATATGATTTAAATCAAAAAACAATTTAATAGCTTTGACATGACATGTCCAAGTATGGGATGATTCAACAAAACTGTCAGTCATTCTCCATAGCCTATGGATGGACCATAGCAACCTTAGTTCTTCATACAGAAAAATATTGGAAATTGCAATGTTTTTTTAAAAAATTCATATTTTCCACAAAAATAAATATATCGAGGTGAACCAAAAACAAAACTGTTAAGAATAGATGTGACTTGATAAATAAAACTTAATTTAGAACAAAATACGGTTTTGCCACTCTACAGAGTGTCTTAAACTTATGGTAAAAAACATATTTTTGTTTAAACCTGTTTATTATAAACGTACGTCTATTTTTTAGTAATTTTTTAAAATGTGAGCGATTGTCCATTAATTTATCTACAATATTCTTTAACATTCGTTTAAATCCGACATTAAATAAAAAAGTTATTCGCGATTGAAATTCATCGAAAATTTGTGTGGATCGATTATTTTGCCTGTGAGTGTATTTAGCGACAAAAATTTTAAAATAATTTAAAAAAATAGACTCATAACAGTTTTCAGAAAGAGTAAATTCCACTTTGACTTCCAGTAATTTAATTTTGCTAAATATAGGACTCGTTGGCGGCAGAAAAAGAATTTACTGCCATGGCAATAAAAAAACTGTTTTTCTTACCTGTTCGAGATAGGCGCCTCTGACCAGCTTGGCGCCGAAGTAGAAGTTCTGCCTCTTGGCCTGCTCGAGATCGGTGGTGACCTCGGACAGCGCGTTCCTCAAGTAACACTGGTAAGTGTTGAACACGATCGCCTTCTCCTTGTTGTATTTGCGCATAAACTCGAGCGTGATACGCGTGATAGCAGGTTGGAAATAGGTTTGTTCCGCGTCAACCATGATGCGCACATCCATGTCTTGCGCAGCCTAAAACAATATCGATAAAAACAACTGTGTTTTTGGAGCAAAAAAAGACATTTTTTTACAAAATTCAATAACTATTTAGAAAAATGTATTCTGTCATGTTATCCATGAAAAAAACATTGAAATAAAATAAAACTAATAGTAACAGTAATGAAATGAAAATCAAATAAAAGTTGGCAAAATAGTTTAGGGGAAGGTGGGGGAATTTTGCGCGGTGGGTAATTTTACGCATAAACAATTCTTCCAGATATGAAGTAAATAATACATTTTTTGAATGTTGCAAACTTGGAAACGTTGCTTTGGGTATACGGGGACTAAAGTGCACCGCAATTGCTTGTAGCTTTTAGCTAGTGACCATGGTCACTAGCTAACTGTGATACATGTACGTTGATCTAAGAAATCCATGTCGTTTCCGCTACGAGTTAAGTTTAAATTTCTGTCCAATCGCTTAAATGTTTATAACACAACTTTATATGATCTTTCCTCGTAATCTGGTGTATGTTTAAATTGTTCAGGTTAACTTTTGGAAAGTTGTTTAGTATCACAATATTTTTCTTGCAATGGAGGTAATTTTACGCTGAAAAATTGGGGTAATTTTGCGCTGCAAAATTTGGCCAATATGGGAGCTTTGTTCAGCATAAACAGTTCCATTTGGGCACACGCGGAGTGTAGCGAAAAAAAAAACCCTAAAACTACATATGTGACAAATGCTGCATGTAGACCCTCTTATTTCTAAGAACAAAAATTTTATTTTTAGTTATTTATTTTTGATTTTGTTTGATTTGTTTGTTTCATAGAGAAAATAGTTTTGTTTTATTTTTATGTTTTATTATAATATTATAGAAATAAACGGTTTATTTAGATACCTACAAATCTTTCTCTATACAGCGCAAATTTTCCCACTATGATGCGCAAAATTACCCTGATAGGTGGGTAATTTTCCGCAAATGCATTATTTAAAAAAATGTAGTTTTTGCATACCAAACATTTTTTTTTATAAATTGCGCATTATATACACATAGTAAACATAGTAGACTATCGCTGGTATTAATTGCAAAATTTCACATTTAAACTTAACAAAGATACTAGAGATTTTGCTTAGATGCGCAGAATTCCCCCACCTTCTCCTATAACAAAAACATTTGGCCAAGTCTTTTTTCAAATTCTTAATAAATAAATTTTGATGTGATATTTATTAAAAATAAAAACTCCAGAGATTTTACGGGGGCGAGTCGCAAACAAATGGGTCACACTGTATATTATTTAACCAAGGATCATTGGTCAAGTAGCTATGAGTTAAGTTATACTCATTCATAATTGAGTCCCTTAAAAAAACTATTTTTAACAAAATTTCAATGAAAATCAAATAAAAGTTGGCAAAATGGTTTATAAAAATAAATTTTGATCAAAAATCTTTTTTTTAATTCTTAACAGATAAATTTTGATGTGATATTTATTAAAAATAAATACTCCAGAGATTTTACAGGGGCGAGTCGCAAACAAATGGGTCACACTGTATATTATTTAACCAAGGATCATTGGTCATGTAGCTGAGAGTTAAATTATACTCATTCATAAGTAAGTCCCTTAAAAAACTATTTTTAACAAAATTTCAATGAAAATCAAATAAAAGTTGGCAAAATGGTTTATAACAAAAAAAATGTTGGCCAAAAGTCTTTTTTTAAATTCTTCATAAATAAATTTGTATGTGATATTTATTAAAAATAAATACTCCAGAGATTTTACAGGGGTGAAAAGTATAAGAAAAAAATAACTTACTTTGACGATGGTATTGACTCTTCTGACCATGTTTCTAAACATCTCTTCCTCTTTGGTGGAGAGCTGCGTAATCAGCCTGGCCATGCGTCCGGTTTTCAGATCCGGTACCCGGAAAGTGTTGCTCAATTCTTGGTTTTCATCGATGATGCCGGACCATGGGAAAAGATGAAGAATACTGGGAAAAACAAAATCGTTCGACAACACGGTAAAGGAAAAACAAACTTTTTTGACATTTTTTTTTAATATGATGATGTGAAGTTCTTTTGGGCATTAGGGCAGTAACTAGCAAGTATTACAGTATTACCAACCTATAAGAGATAATAAGTGGGGACTAAAGCCTTGTTTACAGGTCGAATAATGACGGTGGTGATAAGTAATACTTACTGGCCTTTGCCCGACTGGTACCTAAAAAACACAACACAACATTTATTTATGTTATAACATTAACATTACAAATGAGTTAGTTTTGGTGATAGGTCCAACAACATTTTGTCTGTAATAATATAATGTATTATAATAATAGGTACACAGTTTACTTAGTGAACTGATATTTTTAGGATGCTTTTACTACCTCAAATATTTGAAAACATATAGGTTAACCTAGAAAGAGTAACAGTCACGGAGGATAGGTTTTAGACTTTTAAAACATTGTAAAAAATTAATTAATTGCGGTTAAAAATCTGGAACCTGAGCTGTAATATCTACTTAACTATAAAAGATCAAAACACAATATTTATTATTGATCATTTACCTGTTAATTATTATATAATATCGATATATGGGTCGTTTTCAAAAAACACCCGCCTTTTGCTGTCCGTAAGTTTAAATTCCAATAACTTTGTTAAAAATTATCGGATCTTATTGATTTAAATAGATAGAATATTAAAAAAAACATATATATGGCAACTTTTTTGGCACTCACGTGATTAACAAATGATGTTCGGACGTACACATTACCCAGCTGAATTTATTTATTCAATCAGGAAGAAGATATCGGTTAAAACAGGTGCGGGTAACACGATTTTTTGTCCGCTATGTTACTCAAAAAAATAATAAAAATAAGGTAAGAAAAAATACTATTTTTCATGTTTATGTTTGTTTTAGGTCTTATTGAGAGTAATTAATGACTGTAATGTTTTATTATTATTTTTTAAATATGGTTTCACAAAACTTTGTCCACTGCGTTACCGAGTCCATTACGTTACCTTATGGTAACGCAATGGAATTTAGGGTAACGCAATAGAATTTTTCGACAACAAAGTGGATATTTACCGTCGCTTTTATTAAAAGAAGTTTATGATAAACCAATTTAAAATTATTTGTAATTACAACTCATGATATACATTACATCCAAGGGAAAATTCCACGCAATATACAAGTACTAAAAGACACCAGCTTATAGTCAAAGAAAAAGGGTGTCTACAATTTAGAAATCTAAGTTGTTATTCTGCCAGTGAGCACCACTACAAGGGATTTTGTTTATGCATTACTCTAAAATCGTACCACCCTATATAATTTCTTTTTTACGTTATCTGATTAAGTCCTTTGTGTACCCCAGTCCGTTGTGATACCAATGTCTATTTCGTTACTTTTTTTAGTTTTTGTTAAAAAAAATCCTTAAAATGATTTTACTATCACTTGGTAATACCTTAAAAAATTTAAAAATTAGAGTTTAACTCACTAATACAGTGACTAAAAGGAAATATTAATGGTATTGTTTTTTTAACAAAGAATCGGAATGGTGTCTTTTAAAAAGTAACTTATCTAACATAAATATTTAAAAAAGGCATACAATTTTTAATAAAAAATAAAATTGGAGTCAAAAGTTTGTGAACTAAGTAGGTACATTTTATTTCAAATTATTTTTATAACAACTTTTTTTATTGAATTAAATTGTGGATTTCAAATTGGTAACACAGTGGAGACATATAAAGCTAGCTAAATACATTTTTCTGAAAAAAACCTAAAAAAAAAATAAAAAGTGCACTGCCTGTCTTAAATGTAAGTAAACAAAACTCTAAACATTTATAAAAATCCAACCAAAAGTCAAAAAAAAAATTTGATCTTCATTTTCCTGAAAGCGGGTGTTTCTTGAAAATGACCCATATATCAATTGCATTTTTAACTACTAATTTTGACAACTCAACATGACTCAACTTGACCACCGTTCAAAATTTGCAACGTTGCCGCAGTCCAGATACATGTTTTTTTTTTCTTACCCTTGCTTGTCGTAGGTGATCTGCTTTAGGAACTTTTTCAGCGATTCTTTGTCGGTAATGGAATGGAACTTCTTTTCGAGATCTTCTGGTGTCACGTGATGCGAGAGAACGTTACCTTCGCCGCCGAGCATTTCTGTCATGTAGCGACGCGTGCGCATGATCACTTCAGAAAGTTGCAGCTAAATTAAGAAACATACATCTATAATACCGATAATAAAAGGTATACGCTAAAGAAATATAGGGGTTTCGCAACGCGCGCGCCATCTAGTGGACTTCGATAGAATTTAAGAATATAAATACTGCATTTAATGAAATTCTAAAGTGTATGGTGCCAAATAAGTAATATGTTTGTGCATTTGGTCCAAATATCTGGTTTTCTCCATAAAATAATTTTAACTAAACAGCCTTTATTTAAAAAAATCTAGCTTCTCCATTATGGAATAAGAATATCTGTATTAAAGGTAGGTTAATATATTATAACAAAAATATCATATAATTTTGTAATTTTAAGGTTAGAAAAATTTATTTTGACCAAAAAAAATAAGTATTTCGGATTATTTAAAAGACTGTATAATATGGTATTTAAAAATGTGGTAGTTTTTCTTATCCAGCTTAAAGTGTACCTACATAAAGTTTTGTCATTACAAATAGTTAAAGAGCTTCGACTGAATTTGATCTACATCAAAAATCATTATAACTTTAAAAATTTTAATAAATCACATGTCATGGGAGTATTAAATATTTTTACATTGTAAGTTTCTCTAAAAATTGTTTGTTTTCTTATAATCTAACTTAAAGTAAGTATGCCGAGAGGTATGCACAAGTTTTGTCGTTAGAAGTATAAAAGCTTCAATTTAATTTGAACTATATTCAACAATTATTTAGTATACCTACATATATCTATTTATGACCATATTAACACACTCTTTCAAATAATCCACTTATTAATTTTGGTCAAAATAGATTTTTCTAACAAAAAATACCTTTGATACAGATATTCTTATTTCATAATAGAGAAGTTAGATTTTTTTTAATAAATGCTGTTTAGTTAAAACTATTTTATGGAGAAATGTAGACCCAATGCACAAAAATATCACTTATATTGCACCTTACACTTTGGAATTTCATTAAATGCAGTATTTATATTCCTAAATTCTTAAATCAACCATTGTTATTGTCAGGGGCGGCTAGTGTATAAGGGCTGCAGAGCTGCAGAACTCCCAAAATTTTCTTATTACTTGACTATTTTTTTAATTATTTAATATTTAATTGCGACAGTGTACCTATAAATATTTCAAACGCAAGGCTGCATAAAAAGTTTTTATTATAAACATTTGCCGTGTCGCCGTAGTTATGTTATATGTCATTTCACACCTTTCTTAAAAGCATTCTCTAGTTAGGCCCTTTACTTTAGGATATTAGTTTTAAGTATCTTTAAGTATTCATAGATGCATGAGAATTTTATGTATTTTTTAGTTTTCAAGACCATTCTAAAAATTGTGAGCAACGAACGTAGTCGTTCACTGAATTTTTGTTTCACCTAATATATAAATACTTAAGTAAAGTATATAGTTTTTTTTGCTAAATTTATCAACGAATAACTTAATTCCGTACTTGGCCACTACAGTCATCCAAACGACCGGTAAAGGTCTCTAACGCTTAACGCTTACAATACAACAAAGCTGGGCCACTTTCGAGTTCTGGCTCCCATTTCAATACCGTAATTTTGCTCCGCGCCGCTCTTGGCCCTGGGTTAAGATAGTGAAATTTTAGCCAAATCGGAGCTGCACCAACATACAGTTCATACTTCCCGGTCGTTTGTTTTTCGCTTCGCGTTCACGTTTGTTATTTTAACTAGAAGACTGTTAATTCTGTGTATTTTTGTGTTTTGTGTTTGTTGTTGTATTCTCTTGTAAGAATGAATGTGGTGTATGATTTAATTATGATTTAATTAATTATCTGTAGGTACCATTTAATTAAATGCCAACTGCGCCACATTTTTTTAAACCCCACTGGCAGAACTCACAAATTTTACTGCCACGAGCCGCCACTGGTTATTGTGATACTATAAAGATTTATTAACTTTTAACGCTTAAACATAAGCGGTAACACTATAAATATTATTTCTTTTATTGGCTATACTTTGACAGATACATAACCTGAAAAGCCTTAAATGCCTGCGTTCCGTACGTGGTCACGTGGTGGGACTTTGAGGTGTGGAGCATAGTACATCATTTTTAAATAAATAGGTACTTTTTTCACAAAAGAGAGGAAGGCAGAAGTCTTACTCGACAAATTGCAAGGAAAAATTAAAAAACTTGTTTAGTTCTCGATTTCGATTTATTATTCCTTATATCATTGATTAAGAAACTCAACGCTTATATGCTTATATGGTTACGTTAGTGTGTGTATTTTATCTACGGGATCATGGTGAATTATTGTGTTTTTAATTGTAAATAAAATTCAACAAACATAACCTTAAAATCGAACATTTTTATATTTGAGTTCTCTAAAAAACGCTGACAACTGCATTTTAAACAACAAAATATACCTACGAAATCATGACAACATAATATTATATACATATATATAGGTATATAACAGAGGGGACTTTCTTAACCAACGCTTTTAATAATGCTAAATGCTGTTTAAATTTAGACGACTTATTTGTTTGACGATTTTTTCTGAATTGAAATGTTTACACTTTTCACGTTAATCACTACTAAAATGTGTATTTATTGTATCTAACAAATACAATTTATATTTACAGGGACTGTATGAAATTTATTTCTTCATTCGGATTAACACTGTTTATTGGAAAACCGGTAAAAACTCAACCCAGGATTTCCTCTTGAAATACACCCAACAACACAACAAATCGTGCCTCGGTTTTTTCCGATATTTTTTGTATATACATATATCGGATACATAGATATATCGTAGTGTGGCTTGACCTTAACGGTATTATTGACAGATCAGTGTTTTGGTTTTTAGGTTAAGTTTTTTTACATGGTTTTCTTGGATTATTTGCCTTTAAAATTGAAATCTAAATATGTGGAACTAAATACCCAATTAAATGGTTTTAAAATTACTCAAATTCAGATATTTTATTAGGTATATTACATTGTTATAAAATTAATCATACGTGAACAGCAGTTAAAACGGTATTTAATCTGTTCGGCCAATGAGAAATTAGCATTTCCAGAAAGATAAGCATAATATTTATATTGGTAGATTTCGTATTTTACCTTGTATAGATAAAAAAAGGGATTTCCTATAATAATTTCTTATCAAATATAAATATAGTACCAAGCATTGATGATAATCTAAAAATTAAATGATTGGTGCAAGTTAGAAGATTACTTTCTGAGGAATTTTATTTGTTTGCTTTTTGTAAACAATTTCTTCTTCTGCCATTGAAATAAAAAAGTATCATAATTTAGGTAGGTTTTTTTGGATTTTTTAAATCTGATTGCATAATTTAATTTATTATGTTACGGTTGGTAATATATGGGTGATTCTACAAAAGTTTGACAACTTGATGTCATCAGTCAATAGAGTAGGTATTTTAATAGTTTTTGTAAATATTTCAGTATATTACAAAAGATCCAGGTTTTTTAAACTTGTCCACCCAATTTTTATGTATTTTTTCAAAAGCACGTTTGTAGAAAAACATAATAAATTGTCACAACTCCTGAATCAAATATTTGAGTGATTTTATTTTAAAATATATTCAATTTATCTTAATTTTTTCAATTTCACTACAAACTATAAAACATTAAATAATGTATTTTTCATATTTTATCATAGATTCGAATAATACCAATTTTTAAAAAATTGATAATCTTTGTACTTACTTTTACCCGTCAGTTCTGTGTCCAATGTAAAAATTCAAAATTCCTGCGAAATATTGAATTTTAAACGTCAAGACCTCGTTTTAACTCAAGTGTTGGTAAAAAATTACCTACAGAGCCCGCCCTTTACACGACAGTCATCTTGAAAACAAAGCAAGCGGCGAAGTTGTGGTGAATGCACGTATAGTTCCAGTCCAAATTTTAGTACTGTGGTGAGTAGTTATTTTCTTATGTATATATATTTAATTGTAATTTATATAAGGCTATATGTGATTTGTTGATAAGTAACATCCACTAATAAAAAATAAAATACTTAATTCCGAATTATAATCTCAAATTTGTATCCCATTCATCAGTACCGTGTCGTCAGTTCCATGTTCGATGTTTCGGTTATCTTTTTTTCGCAAACTACAATTTAAATTCTGCTTTCGCAGAACTTGTTTATTTAATGTCATTATAAACTCATATAAATTTGGTGTGGGTCCCATATCTAATAATTGAGATATCGGTATACCCAAAATCCACCAGCCGCCACTGATTTGTGTTATTATTTGATTTTAAGATATTTAATGTATAATATGCTCAAAGTTGCAATAAATCTTATATTTTCCAATAAATTATGTATTTAATTAGTACCGTGGTATACTCGTCACTTCCCTTGCATTCAAATTTAGAAAACACAGATATTTCAGAAACTGTTTGAAAAAGTGACTGGCCCGGTCTGGAACAGTATATTTATTATATTATCTATGTTCTCATAACAAAATACCGTTTAATTTTCTCCGAAAACAAAATGAGGTCAAAAGTTGCCCAACTTTTGTAGAATCACCCATATTACATTAATTACGTAACACCCTGTATTTACTCGTAATTTTTTTTTGTTTAAAATTAATTTATTACTTACCAGTAGTTGCGGTCTACCAAGGGCTGTTAGTTTAATAGCTGTGATACCGGTACCATAGGTAGCTCCTAGAAACAAAAAGAAAAGTATAAACCTGATTTTTTTATCTCATAAACCCTTTAACACCCTAAATTAAACCCATACATATCCCATATAATCTACAACAAACTAAATAAAAAAACGTCCAGAATAAACTAATTAGTGTTCTGGATTAGATTTTTATAAAGTAACTAAACAACAAATTAGTGATAAAATTTAAAATAAAAATGCAACAAATATGTCTATATTTTTTTCAATATAACCTTATTTGTGCATTTTGATGATGTTTTTGATGAATTAATGATAATTTTAAATTAACTAAATAAAGCTTGGGGGATATCAAAAACTACAATTTAGTATATTTCTTATTAAAAAAAATTGGTCGTTAAAAATAAACAATAAAAAATCTTAACGTAAAAGAAAAAACGACCAAATTCTTTTAATTTCCCATACTTATCTGCGTGGCATTCATTTCCGAAATATCTTCTTTTTTGACATTCATTTCGTACTTATATATCGAATCGGTTTTTCGCAAAAATTTCGGATTTTCGGGGCAAAGGCGTTAAATAATAAATTTGAAAATAAAAAACTTGGGTTCTACGTTACCTGTACCCGACTTCTGGAAATCTATAAAAATATATTGAAAAGTTTAATAATAAAACATTGGCAAAAAAAGTCAAAAGGTTTGGTTTGGTTTACAATTAAGAAAAAAAGAGAAATGGCGGTAAAAAAATATAAGAAATGTATCCCATCATTCTGTTCAATATTATGTTGCAATTATACAGGGTGACTTATAAAACGCTCATTATAAAAAAATTGATACATTAAAAAAAATTGAAAACCTTAGTTTTTTTTATTAAGCTGTCCGTAAGTTTGAATTCCAATAACTTTGTTAAAAATTATATTTTAATTTTGAAACTTGTGAAACACACATTTTCGCATGTCCCATTAGCGTTTTATAAAACTTACATACATGTTTTTTTTTAATATTGAATAACCAGAACTTTGTGTTGCTTTATAGCAATCCATAACATCCTTAGTTAATACATTAAACAGTTTATATATAAATTAATTAATTTTAATCTACTTTTTTTAAATTTGATTCATGTCCCAGACATTTTTTCCGTTGCGTTACGTCCGTCGCGTTACCGATAGAATATTTTAAAAAACATATATATGGCAACTTTTTTGGCACTCACGTGATCAACAAATGATGTTCGGACGTGCACATTACCCAGCTGAATTTATTTATTCAATCAGGAAGAAGATATCGGTTGAAACAGGTGCGGGTAACGCGAATGTAATAATTGTTTGTCCGCTAAGTTACTCAAAAAAATAAAAAAAATAAGGTAAGAAAAAATACTATTTGTCATGTTTATGTTTATTTTAGGGCACTAAAGCTCATTGAGAGTAATTAATGACTGTAATGTCTTATTATTATTTTTTAAATATGGTTTCACAAAACTTTGTCCACTGCGTTACCGAGTCCCTTATGTTACCTTATGGTAACGCAATGGAATTTAGGGTAACGCAATAGAATTTTTCGACAACAAAGTGGATATTTACCATCGCTGGTATTAAAAGTAGTTTAGGATAATCAAATTTAAAATTATTTGTGATTACAACTCATGATATAGATTACATCCAAGGGAAAATTCCACGCAATATACAAGTACTAAAAGGGACCTTCACCAGCTTATAGTCAAAGAAAAAGGGTGTCTATAATTTAGAAATTTAAGTTGTTATTCTGCAAGTGAGCACCACTTCAAGGGATTTTGTTTATGCATTCCTCTAAAATCGTACCACCCTTTATAGTTTCTTTTTTACGTTATCTGATTAAGTCCATTGTGTACCCCAGTCCGTTGTGATACCAATGCCTATTTCGTTACTTTTTTTAGTTTTTGTTAAAAAAAAAATCCTTAAAATGATTTTACTATCACTTGGTAATACCTGTTTATAAATTAGAGTTTAACTCACTAATACAGTGACTAAAAGAAAATATTAATGGTATTGTTTTTTTAACAAAGAATCGGAATGGTGTATTTTAAAAAGTAACTTAACTAACATAAATATTTAAAAAAGGCATACTAAGTACATTTTATTTCAAATTATTTTTTTAACAACTTTTTTTATTGAATTAAATTTAGGATTTCAAATTGGTAACACAGTAGAGATATATAAAGCTAGCTAAACATATTTTTCTGAAAAAAACGTAAAAAAAATTAAAAAGTGCACTGCCTGTCTTAAATGTAAGTATACAAAACTCTAAACATTTATAAAAATCCAACCAAAAGTCGATTTAAGCAAAAAAAATTTTTGATCTTAATTTTCCTGAAAGCGGGTGTTTCTTGAAAATGACCCAAGTATTTAAGTAAATAATATGTTTCTCTAATTTGATTTAAAACGACTAAAATTTTGGTTGCGTGTCGTCACTGAACAATGTTGTTGCGTAAAAAATTGGCTTAGAAATGCATCTAGCATGCCAAATGGGCAGCCTTGTTAATAGAATAAATAGAATTTTTATCTTGGTGTAGTTGGGTCTTTCCTTTATAAGATAAGTGATTAACGCGAATTTTATTAAAGTAATAAATAATTTTAAAACCAAAAAAATAAAAATCTACAATATTTTGTAGAAGGTTTGGAAACAAAATAAACTTGGGCTTAAAATAAGTGGAATAACCAAATTTATATTTATACAAGGTGTTCATGAAATGCATATACAAAATAATACCACATATTCCCAAAACCATAATTGTGATATGGTGGTATAATTGTGAATAATGCATGTGTATTTTTTTTTCACAGATAAACTAATGATCTCATTTTTTATAGGATTGTTCAACTCATAACCGTCGCAAGATTAAAACGAAAAAAAAAACATCGAAAATAGTCTGTCATGCCACTGGAAAACTAAATTAGGCTCATTATTAAACTATAAGGTTGTCTATTTCCAAGCTTGCTTTATATAAAATACGAGTGGCATTATATAAAATGAGAATGACTTTTTAAAACATCTGTGTATCAAATAGTGCCAAAAATTTGGGCACACCATTCTTGACCCCTAAAATGTAGCGAAGTCAAGGATATGTAATATTTTTAATTGTAATTAATTAGCAATTAAAATAATTACGATATTAACAAATATAATGATAAATATTAAATGAAAAACCTTGATAAAATAATTAGTTTATTAGTTGTTTTAATATTAGACACCCTGTATATACGAACAAAAATTATTTAAAATGACAATGAAATTTATTAATAATGGAGATTAAATGCAGAATGAGAGGATTATGTTTTTAAAAAATTAATAAACAAAAAATGACAACATGATATAAAATATAAGCTAATATGGGGAAAACACTTTAAAAACACTGAAATCATGCATTTCGAGCATAATCATTCTTGGGAGAATTTTGTAGAAAAAATAAGACAAATTTCCGAATAAACATCTTACATTATAACATTAGTCAAAAACAGGCCTCTTCAGTGCCGGTCAGCCAAACTATTTACTTATCTCAGAAACTACTGGAGTCGCAAAAAAAGTTTTTTTAAATTAAATTTGACTTTTTTAAATGTTCATACATCTCGAGTGTGTATTTTTCACCTGCATCAGAAGTGGGATGAAAAATTTGTTTTTCTCAAAAACGAAGCGATAGGAAAAACAGTAAGATCCATTAATGCAAAAAATGGGTTGAGATTCCCTGCATAAAAACAGGAAAAAACTTCCCATGAACTAGTTTCCGGAATGTCTTTGTTCTCGAGATACAGATGGAGGCAATTTTTTTAAGAAAAATATCAAAAACAAAACCTATACACAACCAACTTCGTGAAAAAAATGTTTTATATTTATTTGACATTTTAAATGTTCATACATTTAGAGTGTGCATTTTTCACCTGCATCAGAAGTGGGATGAAAAATTTATTTTTCTCAATAACGAAGCGAGATAGGAAAAACAGTAAGATCCATTAATGCAAAAAAATGGGTTGAGATTCCCTGCATGAAAACAGGAAAAAACTTCCCATGAACTAGTTTCCGGAAAGTCTTTGTTCTCGAGATACAGATAGAGGCAATTTTAAAAAAAAAAAAATATCAAAAACAAAAACTATACACAACTAACTTCGTGGAAAAAATGTTTTATATTTATTTGACATATTTAAATGTTCATACATTTAGAGTGCGTATTTTGCACCTGCATCAGAAGTGGGATGAAAAATTTATTTTTCTCAAAAACGAAGCGAGATAGGAAAAACAGTAAGATCCATTGATACAAAAAACGGGTCGAGATTCCCTGCATGAAAACAGGAAAAAACTTCCCATAAACTAGTTTCCGGAAAGTCTTTGTTCTCGAGATACAGATAGAGACAATTTTTTTTAAGAAAAAAAAATATCAAAAACAAAAACTATACACAACCAACTTCGTGGAAAAAATGTTTTATATGTATTTGACATTTTTAAATGTTCGTACATTTAGAGTGTGTATTTTTCACCTGCATCAGAAGTGGGATGAAAAATTTATTTTTCTCAAAATTTAAATTGTTTGCGACTTAAATAGTTTCTAAAATAAGTAAAATGATAAAGGTATTTTCATGCTATAATGTAAGATCAGGTCTCGAATTGTTGCACATTGTAATCTACAAAAATCTCACATTCAAAGGTACGTATCATCGATATTAAATATAAAGGCCATGGATTTTTTAAGCAAGCTATGTTTTAAGTTAACTAAAGTAATAGTGCATGAGATGGTAGATGCCGTAAGCGTATCAAATGGCTGATTAGCTTCATTTTGAATGATCACTTGGGTACATGAAGAAGTGTTTGGCATTTTTTAACCGCAATTTAAATTGCACACTCATTCGTCATATTCTCGGATTTAGTCGCCAGGGGACTGTTTCCGGACTTATTTAATAGATCCATGGCCTCCTTTACACAAACATCGACAGCATTACCAACCTAACGATGGTAGCGCATAAAAAACGAAATTTCCCTACCTGCTATCGCCTCCAGGCACTTGATGAAGGTCTCCATGTTTCTTTCGCAGGTGGCCTCGTTCAAGTAGAAGTAGGTCCTCGCCGATTGGACCTTGTAACGACGATCGGCGAATGTTTTGTCCACGTGGTATTGTTTTATCGAGTCGGCTTCGACTTTGTCGCCTGCTTCGGGTACCGAAGCTCTGCAAATGGTTGACAAGTTAACAACGCCCTCATGGTAAAAAATAGACCACGCCACATTTTTTTTTTTTTCATAAAAATTATGGGAGTATTTTTTCGAACATTTGAAGCGTTTTCCCGAGAAGTGTTTAGAGGGGGTGGGGGTAAAAACAAAAGTTGGTGACAATGTGTATTTCTACCTTTTTTCCGCGTCGGTTTGGGCATCTTCTGGGGGTAGACAGGCTCTGTAATTTTAAAATTTTAGTTCGAAAAAAAATATATCAATTTTTGGATGTTTTGTAGCTCATTAAATTTATTTAGCTCCAAGTATATGTTTAAAACTGTATTTATCAACATATCAATAAACATGTATCCACTTAACTTACACAGTTAAAAATATCTTCGGATGTAAAAATAAACCATAAAAAACCTCCAAACCATCCGAAAATTGATACAAGTATCTTCCAAAACAAAAACACGGACAACATCCAGTTAGTTGGGATACAATAACGTGTCACAACAACACGGTGCTTACAAACAAACAAAAAAACAAAAGCTGGCGGGGGTGGAATCATTGACGGTCTGGTGGATGCAGATTTCGGTCTTCGTGGAACAACAAAGGCTTTGGAAAAGTTAAAAAAGTGCATTGAACAAAAAAAAATATTACAAATCAAAGTAAAAATCGTTTTATTCTTCGGACGCAAACGAGCAAGAAGTATAACTCGACAAATCTAGCTAGAGACTTTAAAAACTTGCAGTGTGCGCATTCGGAATAATAGAGATGCATGATACGGCCGTTCCCGGCCGCACAGAGTACTAATAAAGGTTTAAATATCAACATTATTAAAGTTATTTAAGAGTAAAAAATAGTAAATTTTCGATTTATTTATTCAATTAGAAGTTAAGGTATGTTTAAAAGAGTTAACCCAACTCAACCCATAGCATTGTACAACAAATATGTTTTGCTCGATGGTATCAATCAAAATGATTTCGCGTTTTACACCTACTAATGATGTAAAATCTTAGACACAAGCACACTTATGTTAAAAAATAAAAGGCTATTATTTATTTTAATTTGTAGTATTATTTTTTTGTTCAAATGTAACGAAATGTACAATTTAAATCATTATTATATTATGCACTTTTTTATCCATTTCATTCGATACTGACTTCATTCAAAAATGTTTTCTCGTCAAAGTGGTAATAGGTGGGTACAGGGTTCACCAAACACCGTTTTTAACGAAAAAAATATAACAACTTTGAAACTTTTTTTTTTAAATACTTACCAACTAAGTATTCAAAAAAAAGTAAAATGAAAATCTTCCATGTAGATCTTGGGAAATAGCGATCAATTCTTCGTAATTTATGTGTAGTATCGTATATTGATAATATTTTAACTGTCTCAAAGTTAATATTTGTAGAATATTTTTAATTTGAAAGACTCATACGATAGTAGGAAACTCAAACTTTATTCTTCTGAATGCATTATTCAAAATTATAAACGTAAAAATTGATAAACTTTAACAAAAATGTAAAAAATAACAAAATAAATCTAAGCCTACAGATGTTGACTATTGTATGCACAAAGCATCGAAACAAGTTCATATATTATTAAGTTATTTCTGGATAAATTAAAATTCCTGGAAAATATATTGAATGAATAATGAACTTGCTCCGATGCTTGCTCTGAGAAGAAACCAAGGGCTCTTTGCGTTTCTTCAATAAATTGAGGAACATGATAAATGAGAGCATGGATCTTTGGTGTACATGTAATTCCAGCTTTTGATGATTGTAGTTTAAATTCTTTTATGTAGTCTTTATATTCATCTGCTAAGTTTTGGCCAAAGCAGCCAGAAACTACTTGATTGAACGCCTCAAATACGGGTATATATTCATTGTCTAAAATAGGAATTATAAATCAGTAGGTAGAAAACATCCAAACAAAGCAAAGCTTATGACAAAGTTTTCAATACAGCAATCGACTTTAGTAGTTTTCGTGCATTATTGCCATTCAATTTGCCATAATGGTCAAAGCAGATTCCAGCACTTTTCACCCATGCCTCCCAAATTCTGGATATTTGCTGTTTAGGGAATCAAAAAGTTTTTGTACAATGCCCAGCATAAGGTGAAGTTCTGGTGGTGGAATAAAAAACAAAACTGGGACATTTTAAACATTTAAACTCGAACAAAAACGTCTTTAAGTAAAAAAACATCGATAAAAACTCGAAGCAAATCCGTGCGCAATTTACAAGTTTTAACCACAGAATTAAAAATAATATTTTGTATTCAGGGGCAATATAAAAATCGAAGCAACAAATTGTAAACCCAGGCATGTTCAATAGTCGGTATATATAGGCAAAAGAGGATTAGTTTTAATACGAATCTCACTTATAGTTGGTGGCTACTTTTAACAAAAAGAAATAGTGTTATTATGCGAGGTCAAATATCAGTGGTCTAAACTATACAAACTATACAAACCTATTTCAATAAAAAATTGATATATTATCGACAAAATTATAAAAAACTAAGAAAGAAAAAGTTTCTTTTTCATGCATTTTGTATCACCTACTAAAGAAATAAATTATAATTCATATTTTAAATATAGCAACCCAAAAAACTGAAAGTAATAAAAAAACAGTTTTTTGACAAAATTTTTGACAGATCTAAATGGAAGATTTTCATTTTACTTTTTTTTGAATACTTAGTTGGTAAGTATTTTTTTTTTAATGTTTCAAAGTTGTTCTATTTTTTTCGTTAAAAACGGTGTTCGGTGGTCGTATGGTCGTGGTTCAATCCTGAGTTGCAACTTTATTTTTGGACAGTACTATTTTCCGTAACTGTACATATTATCTACAGTTACGGAAAATGGTAATGTCCATTTGAATGCTCCATTGTTAATGTTCGGAGGCATTCGGGTTTTGGTAAACTAACATATTTATTTTTAAAATCTTGAAATTTTCTATAAATTTAACTTTTACCTTGAATACCTTTAAAAAGAGTTAATTTATCACTAGTGCAAGAATTTTAAGAAATCATACATTTTGAATATTAGAGCTTCACGGAAGATAGCTTCACGGAGGTTAGGATTTCGTATCTTTTTTTAAAAACATCCCTTTGTATATTTTAAATAAGTTCTTTTGACAACTTAATATTTTTAAAAAATACAATTGTACATACATAAAATATTTATAAAAAAATCTATTTACTGAGATGTTACACTTCACGGTGGATAGGTTTTTAAATGGCAAATTAATGAACTTTGAACTTTTGAAATATAAAACAGCAACACTCTCATCTGCATATAAATTCTAACTGACCTTCAGGAATCACGTGCATCTATTATGTCGTAAACAGAGGTTTTTGCTTATTTAAAATGATTAAAGCGCCATCCGTTGCATAAAATTTAAAGCAAAAACAGATTCACGGAGGATAGAATCAATGTTTGTAACACCTACATAAATGGTTATAAAACTATAAAAAAATATATCAAAAATTAACGATTTAATAAAAATACTGTTAAATATGTAATACACCCAAAATAATTAATTCAATAAGAGTTACAATTGAGCATTCAAATGGACATTACTATTTTCCGTAACTGTACTTCGATACAGGCCCACTTTGACGAGAAAAAACACAACTTTCAACTTACTCAACTTCGCGCTTTTCGGCCTCCTCCTGAGACAGATCTTCCTCGACCGAGTAGTCGAGAATCGGCTTTACTCCGAACGATCTCAGACGTTCGAGGGTGGGTCGAATTTTGTACTGGTCCTCTCCGGCCACAAAGTGACCGTAGAACGTGCCCTTCATCAGCGTTATGAACAATTTCTCTCCGAGAACGCCTCTCGCAAACTTCATCAGCTGAAATAGAACGAAAAATGGTTTAGTAAAGTGCGCTATGCACGGGTCACGGTGCTGTTCTGAGAGGTGATTTTTGGACTTTCTGTGAAACCTAATATTTTTTTATATTCTTGTTAATTAGGTCATAACTAAAATTTTAAGAGCAAAATAAAAAAAAATTGACGGTTAATTTTGTTTTAATTGGATGTTTATTAAAAATATGTATGCACACTTTCAATTCTCCAATTAAAACTTGCGATTTTATTTAAATTTTATCATAACTTTTTAAATCAGATTAAAGATTAGTTAATTTCCTAAAAAAAGGTCTATACATTTTTTATATCTTTTACTGTTTTGTTGTAATACACGTTTAAAGTTTTAATTTAAGGTTAAATGTATAGTATACATTTATTAAACAATAATTCTAAGGGTGCCACATTTTATTTAGGGCCGATTTATTCATTTTTGATTTATTTGACGAATAATTTCTTTGGATACTAGATATTGCCAAGACATGAAAGTTATCGGCCCGATAAACTTTACTAAAGATGAATAAACCGGTCCTTAGTTAAATTTCATGAATTTCTTCGTAACTTTTACTACAATTTTTCATTTTTGTTTATAAAAAACACTTTAAAAAACTAAACAAAAATTATAGAATACGTATACTGAAAATGACAATTCAAACGTCAAATAAATTTTTAATAGATCTAAGTTTCATGGCAACCTTTAAGGATAAATTAATTAAGGGAACATAAATGTATACGTCAAAGGTTAGATTAAAAGTTTGAACGTTTATTGCAACAAAACAGTAAAATATATAAAAAAAATTGTAAAAACCTTTTTTTTAGTTATGCAAATATTAAATATTTAAATTAAATCGCTAGTTTTAATTGGATAATAGAAAGAATGCATAATATTTTTAATAAACAGCCAATTAAAACAATTCAAACCGTCAAATTTTTTTTATTTTGCTCTTAAAATTTTATTTTTGACTTAATTAACAAGAATATAAAAAAAAATAGGTTTCACAGAAAGTCCAAAAATCACCTCTCAGAACAGCACCGTGACGGGTGTTTTACCAAGATTTCTTTTGAGTTTTTTCCGAAATTATTGCTATCCCGTACGGGAATCTATAAATGGCACTACGATTTTCGTATTGTTCAACTTTTACGGGAGGAAGGAAAGAAGGAAGGAAGGCAATCTATAAATCGAACGAGAAAATCTACTGTTGAGATTTATTTTTTTAAATATTTTCATTGTTTTACTGGTGAGACGAAAATTATTTTTAATTATAGTATTCAGTGTAAAAATGTAATTGTGATAATTGCATACATATATAAACTTGACCTTGTCTAAACCTATCAAGTTGAGGTATTTATGTGCAATTATTTTTAAGTATATACTATATAGTTTCAGATATTTTAAAAACGAATAACAAATTTGATATAACCTACTTTTCCTCGTCTTAATTTCCACCAATCATAAACGCGCAATTTTGAATTACAAATGGTTTCTAGGTGAAAAAACTGTGTGACAGCACCTGTCAGCAGTTTATTCGAGTTTACCCGCGGCAAAACTTGACAGCTGTTGTCACCAAAAATTGCAATTTATATTTTAATTGTTAACTGTTACTCATGAAATAGTCTTGTGAAATACCATTCGGGCATCTAATTTTTCCTGTGAAAAAAATCGAAAAAACACAATGCTAAGTAATATTTTTTAACAAAATGCATTCGTGCAGGTGCAAAAATCGTCCTCTTCGACTCGGATTTTTGTTGCCAACAGCACTCATGCTTTTTGTTAAAATATTACTTAGCAACGTGTTTTTTCGATTTTTTTAGGAAAAATTAAATGCCCTTACTTACTTACGATTATTTCCCTCATTATAATATGAAACAATCAAAAGCCTTGAATTTTCGAATAAATTTCGTTTAAATAAGCGACTAAATCACTAGAACTATTTAACAGCGATTAAATTTTGGATTTTTGTTTACGATTTTATGGTGTTATTTACAAGTTTTAACAAACATTTTTAAAAAAACAATAAAAAATAAGTTATCTAGTTTACGAAATATCAATGGGGTAGTTAAATTTTTTCTGACCTATACTTTTTATGGTTTTATTCAAGGCGTTTTGTAATATTAAACATTTCTGTGAAATCAGAATTTCAATTGAGTTTACCGTTTTCGAGATATTTACAAAAAATATAAATTTTTATGACGTCACAAACCCCGTCATGTGACCAACATTCTAAGATTTCTATTGGTTGAAAATTACCCTGTTGTCAAGTTGTCTTGTTAATGATTTCATTCGGTTATGTCAGAAAATACCCGAAGAGGTTATGTACAAATACTGTCACTGTCAGTTGAGTGAAAGAAGAAGAAGAGAAGGTTAAAGAAAATTCTGAAATTAAAAGTTTTATTGATAGGTTTACACATTGAAATACCGTGTGAAACCTAATAAAATGTAATAAATAGGTACCTAATAACTGTCTAAAGCAGAGTTTAATTTATTTCATAGAAAAAAGTGGCAAAATAAAGCTGAAAATGAATTAAATAAATTTACAAAAAATAATAATATATCTAAAAGAATATATATATATATATATATATAAAGAACAAGGCATTATACCAATGAAATGCATTTACGACAAAATATGATTATAATTATAGGTAGGTACTTACTTTTTTTGTTTAAAAGCTCCAATGTTCAATGTAACCAACCATTCCACAAGATTTCTCTGCTTTGGAGTCCGTTATTAATAAATCACTTATCTAATATCAATTACAAATAACATAACAATAACATTGATTTTAAATAATCTAAATTTAAAAAAAACAACCCGAAAAAAAGAAACGTCAAAAAATCAATTCTTCTTCTCAACTAAAATATTATAACGTGGCGCCATCTATCGTAAACTAAACACACTGGCAACCATAGAAAAAGCTGGCAACGTTGTCAATAGCCTAGTGACGTAATTAGGAGATTTTGTTTTGTAAATATCTCGAAAACGGTCAACTCAATTGAAATTCCGATTTCACAGAAATGTTTAAAATTACAAAACGCCTTGAATAAAACCATAAAAAGTATAGGTCAGAAAAAATTTAACTACCCCATTATTACTTATTACATACCTTAAATTAATGGAATTTTCTTTTAAAAAATATTTATAAATTTAGACACATACGTCAGATTTTATGAATTGTCAAATAGTTTCCTTTAATTCGAGAAATAATCTAGACGTATATCACTCAACCTATAAATTTAATCTGTCAAACTATGCTAAGTTTTTATTTGATTTTTCTTTTTGGAAAATAGTTTCATGCAAAATAATTAAAAATAAAACCCTTCGACCGCTACGCGGTCTCGTGATTTTATTAAATTATTTTGCATTCAACATTTTCCAAGAAAAACCAAACAAAAAACTACTGAGCCTAGTTTAACCGATTAAATTCATAGTTCTCGTGAATGAATATAAAAAAAATAATTGACAATCTAATAAAAAAAATGTTGAAGTTGCCAAAATGATTTAAATACTGCATGTTGATGTTATAAATAAAAATAAATAAAATAGTTATTTATGTCATTAGGACAAGAAGTAGGTCTTTTTGTGGTGAGCTCAAGTTTTTATTTGTTAAACGATACATAACACGTAAAAAGTGAGGTTAGATAGGTCTGACAGATGTCGATTTTTTTCCTAAATCATTTTTAAGTGCCTAGAAAATAATATTTGCATTTCTACGCTAAAAATATTGTTATTATTTTGCAAAAAATTAAATGTATATTCCACATTCTAAAAAAACAATTTATCGATACTTTCTTAGTAAATACAAAAATCGGTCAGGTGACTTCGTAGCCATGCAACCATCTACTGGTGTTTGCAACGTTGCCAAATTAAATTCTATGTCAAAAAATTTTAAAGTATATAATATATAATAAAAACTATTGTACAAAATAAATACATTTATTACCGTATCCATTACTCATATTACGCTGACATTTAATCAAAAACTAGGTAAATTTATTTCAAAAATTCAACGATTTATTTGATATACCTTAAAGTCGGAAAAACGCGAAATCCGGCAACCGCGCGACTCCATTCATCGTATCGATCGGGGGGCTCGTCTGCACGGCCTACTATGACGAAAGTACGTGCGCTGTTGCCGTCCAGCGGCCCCCAACATGTTGAAACATTCAAGATTGTTAAAACTATTGATAACCTAAATTATATATGAAAAAAATATGACAATTATTTTTTAGCAAAAAAAAATTATAAATTTAGTTTTTACACTGAGAGAAATAAATTTGTTAAATCAACAGTTTTAGAAATGCTATTCCTTTTGATATTAAAACAATAAACATTTTGTTGACATAAACTAAATTTTACTTTCAATTAATATTTTGAGAATGTCAAATTAAAAATGTTATTTTAATGGCCCATTTTATTTCAATCAGTATATCAACACTAAACGTATATTGAAGAAATATTGTTGTTAAGAAATTTGATTAAATCATTTTTCTATTAGTTAAATGGATACATACACACACAAAAATTAAACGAATATGTAAAATTATTGAAGCGATGTTCTTTTGTATTTTGCCTTTACAAACTTGGAATATTGAGTCAACTTATCTAAGTAATTATTCTAAAATTGCAAAGGTATTTTGGTAACATTTTTATTTTATTTCTTCAATGTAAACATAATTCAACCGTAACACTCAGAAAAATGTACATGCACTAATAATAAAACTAATTTTGTAAGCGATTAATAAAATAATATTATTTAACTTAAATTTAAAATTGTAATGGCTATAAAAATGTACCACCTAAGGTACCTTTTTTATTAAATTTTCAGTGTCTTATTGGGACAAAAACCTACGATTTGTCAAAGTAATGAGATTATTTTTATTTACAGAATAAACTTTTTTTAGTGTTAATAAAATTCTCATTTACTATAATGAAGCAGCAATGTTGAGATTTTATAAAAAAAATGTTCTTTCAACAAAGTAATAGTTGT